ATCAACATATATCAATAATTTTATATATGTATATATAATTTGGATCCATGAATATGATTTTTATAAACACATGTTCTCTAGTAATGAATCAAACCATGTGCTCTGATACCACTGTCGGGAAACGTGCAAGTTTTAATAACTTTTCGAGGGATTTTGATTCATAGATCTTGATTCATCACATAGAGACAAGTTTTATGCAAAAATAAAAATATGATGTATCATTCAATTAATGGATTGAATACTTATATCAAAGGTCTGAGTAAACCTTTAAAACTTTCCTCTAAAGTGAATATTCTCACTTATTGTAGATCCCTTAGCAAGATGCCTTCTCCTTGGATCTCCATCTTCTTGGTAATTATTTTGCCTTTAGGAATCACTCATAAGCCTCCATGAATTACCTTGGAAAACTAGGCTTGTGGGAGCCTCTATTAGATGAGACCATAAACCCTAATTTTCTAGAGAGAGAAAAGTTATTCCTTTTTCCTTCTCATAAAAATCACCACCTAAAATATACATAGACCATGTATATTTATAGGCAACATAAAAATAAAGAAAAGGAAACAACAAATCCTTCTCCATCTCTAATTCATATATCTCAAATCTAATATAATTCCAATATCAAGTTGGGCTATGAGTGAGAATCCATTGGGCCTATTATTTTATTGGCTACAGTGAATTAATAATTGGCCCGGTCCATGGACCCAATTCAATTAATTCATAAATTAATTCTTACTCCACTAAAAGAAATTAATTGAACTCCAATTAAATAATAAATAACCTCTGAGTCAATATTGCACTTTGACCCCTCTATGCATAATTAGTTATCGGATAAATATAGCCATCAATCCGACTACTTAATTAATATATTTATTTTGGTACCTTTGATTATTTCTGGCTCGATCACAATAAAACATTTGTTTGACAAAAATAATAATTTAAATAAATAAATATATAATAAATCATTTTGTCTAAAAACACACGAAGGCCTTCGAATTTACTTTGTGATCAACCATAATCAATACAAAATAAATACAAGTAGCAATGATGCAAATATTGAAAATATAACCCTTTAACTATTAATTACATAACTACCCAAAGTGTCGGTTTAAGGATCCCGAAGAATCCGCCGAACAAATCAAAGTAATTATTAATTAATAAAAGAGTCTATACTTTTCTCATGCTTAAGAGTCAAATGCCATGACGGTGATAGGGAGTAATTGCATACGACGGCTCTCGCAATATATCTCAACCTAACGCGGATCCAGTTCAAGTCTTAATTAATTATGAGTCCATCCATAATTACCGACTATGAACAATTTATAATTACTATTTATATATCATGCATTGATTGTCATCACATACATATATATAAATATTTCTTGTAATTAAATGGACACTATCAATTTCATAGTGAATCGAAACATAATACATTGAATTCACCAATTATATAAATCATAAATATTTCAGATATGTCAGGAACATATGTCACTACAATCCAGATAGGAATTTGCTATGCCAGGGCATATAAATCCCAACAGCAGCACCATTGGCCTCAGGGGAGCTGAAAAATTTATGTTTCTCATATATATTCTTCTTTAAACACCCAACATCGACATTCACTGCTTTAACAATTACCTGGGCATCACCCAACAATGGCCACATATGAGTAGCTAGCTAGCTATATTATTATTTGTTTGTTTATTTTATTGTATGTTGACTTGTGCAGTCGTCCTGATTAATTTTGCAGAAAAATTAGTCCAATTTGGGAAAATAACATATTGTTGTAAATTTGTATTGATTGACATTTTCTTCTATGGTTGCTTCATGCTTGTGATTATAGTATATACATATTCTATTTATTTTATTTTAAATATTTATTTCGAAAATTGTGACACACAATAACATCTAAAATAGAGCGAAGATGGTATATGCACACACATGTAATATAAAAGAGCTTAGTGGGTAGCCAAGTGTGTGATGGCTTTGACATTTCCCTTTTATTATATGGGAAGTATAGTTCTTGTTGACAACTTAGCTGTACATCGTTTGATACACGTTTTCGTACGCGTGGTGCAAGAGCTACTAAATTCTTTCCTACATGCCTTTTAGTTGGAATTTTTGTTCCTTATTTTGTGGACCGTAAAAATGTTTAAAAAATAGTGGTCTAAATTCAAACTATTAATTTAATATTTTTACATATTACGTACTGTAGCAACTGGTAATAGATTTGTTAATCCTTTCGGGAATGTGCAAGAATCGAATGGTTGCTTAGTTTGTAATTTTGAAAATAATATTCTCTAATAATTAATTACTATAAAGGTAATTTATAAATTGACCAAATAATATAATTTAATCTGATATTTATTTACTTAATTATTTTTTATTTATTTACTTTATATTCACTTATTTTTTTCATGATTTCATCCATGTAATTGAACAAATCATTTCCATGTAAAAAGTGTTATTTTTCTTTTGGTTTCTTACCATCTTAAAAAAATAATAATAAATAAAAAAAAATCTTAATAATAAGAGTGAGTAAACTTTCCAAAAGTTATTCCCTATACTTCTTCATCCACATAGTATGTAATTTTTGAATAGTAGGTGGTGGAATTAAAACAATTTTTGAGTAGTAGGTGGTGGAATCAAAATAGTATATGATGAGATGATAAATGCATTTCTCTCAAATTAAATGACTTAAATATCCTTTATAATTAAATTATTGTGAATTGAATAGATGGCAATGATGTCCTTTCACATTAAAAGCGTCATATTTTTAGGTTTTTAACTTGAGTACATCAATTACAACAATTTCATTTCAAAAAGTTACTTTGTGGTATTTCGTGTTCTCAAAGTAAGGAATTTTTTTTCGGATTTTAAAAAGAAATTATGTTGTTTTTTAATTGTCAATTTTAGTGTACTTCCCTTGCAGTACCATAATTCAATTAAGAAAAAGAAAGAAATTGGACTAAGGAAACATGACAAATTATTAATTATTTTTCTTAAAATAATTAACTGTTATAATGGCCGCTAAAGATCAAGTGCACTGAGAGTTTTTGAGCTGCTTAATTTTTCCATCTTCTATTCAAATTCAAAAGCCATTTTTTTTTTTTTTTTTTTTTTTCGGGAATTTTTCTTTACTACTTCATCTACTTGCTTGAGGGAGAGACATAGAAAATAAATAAATAAATAAATTGTCTAAAGAATAATATGTTAAGGAGTAATTGCTTTCGAAAAATGCCCTCATATAATTGCTTGAACGAACATCAGTTAAAAACACCCTTTGAGATTGTTGAAGGAAGTTTTTTGCCAAAAATATTCGTAAGAGAATTTTTCGCAGTTGGTTAATGGTCGAGCAATTTTTTACAATTCGCCATTTTTTATAACATTATCAAATTGATTTATTAAACAAGTTCATTAATTACATAATACTGCTTCTTTTCCATAATAGATGTCCCTTATGGGGAGTAGAACTTTTTAAGGGGACATGTAATTATTGCATTGTCCCCTTTAAAAATTATAAAGATACCCTTTCAAGTTAATATATATATATATATATATATATATATATATATATATATATATATCTTTTCATAAATTTTTTTTTAAATTTTAAGGGTAATTTATGAAAGATATATATATATATATATATATATATATATATATATATATATATATAATCAAGTTTGAATTTTTTTTAAAATTTTAAGGGTAATTTATGAAAAGATGTGAAATATGTTGTTTAAACTTGGTAAATGGACAAGTATTATGGAACAATCCAAAAAGAAAAGATAGACAACTATTATGGGACGGAGGAAGTAGTCATTTACCTTTTAAGAATGATAAATTAAAAAAATTCACTCAAATAAAAAAATATTAGAAATTCACTATCATTAAATAAAAAGTTGAATTCCCAAACATACATGTTATTATTATTAGGGCAAAGTACAGAAAACCCCCCCTCAACTTGTAACATTTTCTAGTAAACCCCCTGTCTATTTTTTTTACCAAAGAACCCCCCTCAACTTGTATCAATTTTCCAATAAATCTCCCTTATCTAATTTTTTTACCAAAGAACTCTCCTCAACTATCTGAAGGAGGTAAAATAGTTGATAATTGAACCAAAATGCTCTTTTATTTAAATATTAATTCTCCCGAACTTCAAAAATTCATATCTCACAAACCGTATATTTAAAAATTATAAATAATATATGCACGAAAAGCTTATAAAATAAGGATTCTAGAAATATTAGATTTGTACAACAAACCTTCATAACCAGATAAAAATTGGAAATTTAAAAATCTACTCCAACAATCTTATTTTGTTTTTAATAAATAAAATACTCGAGATCTTTACAAGAAAATTTTCAGAATTATTCATTTACATATGGAGCCGAATATATAAAAAATTAACCCCAACAGAGATCAATTTCATGAGATATCATATTTTGCGTCAAAGTATTTTCATTCTTTTATAGACTCGCCATTTAAAAAAATATAAAAATAAATATTCGGTCTCTATAGGGGCTAATTTTTTTATATGTCATGCTCCATATGAAAATGAATAACTTTGAAAATTTTCTTTCAAATAATCCGAGTATTTTATAAAAAATAAAATAAAATAAAATTATTGCAGTAGATTTTTAGATTGTCTATTTCTCTCTGGTTATGAAGTTTTATTAAATAAATCTTATATTTTTAGAATCTTTGTTTTATAAGCTTTTCGCGCATATATTACTTACAATATTTGGATGTACGATTTGTGATATATGAATTTTTGAAGTTCGAAAAAATTAAGATTTAAATAAAATGATATTTTAATTCAAATATTAACTCTTTTACTCCCTTTGGATAGTTGACTAGGGTTATTTGGTAAAAAATTGGACAATGAAGATTTCTTAAAAAGGACTACAAATAGAAAGGTTCTTTGCTAAAAAAAATTACAAGAAGGGGGTTTATTAAAAAAAATTACGAGTAGATGGGTTTTCTTTACTTTGCCCTCATTATTATTGTGCAGAGAATGGAACACGGAAACGGTAGACCTCAAAGTAGAAGTGGTCAATTTGGGGAAAAGATGATCTGATGAATCGAAAATGTTTGCAAAGCCAAAAGGAGGTAGTACTAACGTAGTAGTGGTCTCCTCCTACCAATAACATCCATTCGTTTTATGTTTGTCTTAGTCCAACTACGGTTGATTGACTGACGAACTCCTCCTGATTGTGTGTGTGTGTGTGTGTGTGTGTATAGTCCATTCACACAATCGATCGCTTAAATCAACACCGTCTACTCTACTATTTTATACCATATACAAACAATTTTTCTCGAATTTTCCAGGAAAATAAACTGAGGCAGCAGGAAGAGCTAGCATTTTCATCCTCGAATTTTCCGTCACCAATCCAACTTGGATTGCAATCTAACTGGGCAGACGACTCGGTGTTTGTTTGTTGATCATCCTCTCTGATTTTTTGATACACATACACCCCCCGACACACAGACAGACAGACAGACAGACTTGGTGGTTAAATTTTTCTCTCCTCAGGTCAGCTTTACTAAATTGGTCTTCTTTGCTGCTTTCCTTAACTTTATAATCCCAGGTGTTTTGTTTCAATATCTTCAATTTCATCAACAATTAATTATGCTGAAAACACCTCAACTTTTTTCACATCATATACTTATTATTTCTATTTCTCAACTATAAAATTTTGCCGTATCTTTTTGTATACTTCAATTCAACTCTGCTGCGTTAAATGATTATGGTGCTCACTTCAATCCTTCTTTTCTGGATGAATTCTTCGTTTTCTTGCCAACAACACTAGGAGGAACACAGCAAACCATGTTTGGTTCTAGTTTCCAATCTTAAACTTTTCATTTTTTAGATTACATGTATGAAAACTCCTCCACTCAATTTACCCCTGTTGACTTTAGGTTTTCGTCAAACTTGACGCTGCAAATGTAAAATTCAAAACCCTGTATTCTCTTCTTTTCTTTGCCTTTTCAGCTACCAAATGAAGCGCTGGTGGTTTCATGTGCTTCTTTTCATCTTACCGTCAATTAAGTGCACATGTGGGTAACTCGTGTAGGTGCTGATACAAACGCACACTAATTCGGGTTCAACTGCATTCAGCTGTGGAGTTGACGAGATCTGGTCACATGGGGCAGACCATCAAGCTTTCTATACCTCTTTAGCTGGGTAACAGGATAGTAATGGATGTCATTACTAGTACCTCATTTGCACCAGCTGCTGAAGTTCTATCACAGACCATAGAAATCATTATTGAGATTGTAACTACTGGCACTAGTGTTTCCATTGAGAAGAAGAGTTTTGCACAATTCACAGCTTACCTGGACAGGATCATCCCTCTCCTAAAAGAGTTGAACAAAAAAAATGTCACTAATTCTCAAGGCTTAAACAATGTTGTCGACATTCTTAATAGGGAGATCAAAGTTGGAAAGCAACTAATTATGGAATGCAGTAAGAGAAACAAAGTATATCTCTTTGTCAACTGCCGCTCAGTTGCTAAACGTTTACAGGAGTGTACAAGAGAGATTAGCCGGGCGCTAAGTCTCATTCCTTTGGCCTCGCTGGACATTTCATCGGGTTTAATCGAGGACATCAGCCAGCTATGTGAAAGTATGCATAATGCAGAGTTCAAGGCAGCTATAGAAGAGGAACAGATTTTGGAGAAGTTAGAATCAGGAATACAGGAGAGGAGTGTTGACCGCTCATATGCCAACAATTTGTTGATTTCCATTGCAGAGGCTGTTGGAATTTCAACTGAGCGCTCAGCATTAAAGAAAGAATTTGAAGAATTCAAGAGTGAGATCGAGAATGTTCGGCTGAAGAAGGACGAGGCAGAAGCTATACAAATGGAACAAATAATCATGTTGCTAGAAAAAGCAGATGCTACTTCATCTCTGAAAGAGAAAGAAGCTAAGTATTTCACTAAAAGGAATTCCTTGGGTAGTCAACCATTGGAACCCCTACAATCATTTTATTGCCCAATCACTAGGGAAGTTATGGTTGATCCTGTGGAGACTTCTTCAGGACACACATTTGAGAGAACTGCGATAGATAAGTGGTTTGCTGAGGGTAATTACTTGTGCCCCCTGACCATGATCCCTTTGGATACAACAATGCTACGGCCTAACAAGACTCTGCGCCAATCAATTGAAGAATGGAAGGATAGAAATACCATGATTACAATTGCTTCCTTGAAACCAAAACTCCAGTCAGTAGATGAGGAAGAAGTGCTTCATTGCCTGGGACAACTACAGGATCTCTGTGAACAAAGGGACCTACATCGAGAATGGGTAGTATTGGAGGACTACATACCTGTTCTTATTGAACTTCTTGCTGCCAAAAATCGAGACATAAGGAATCATGCTCTTGTCATCCTTTGCATCCTGGCAAAGCACGATGATGCTAAGGTACATCTTAGCATGTTAAATTTATGTCTTTTTTTCTTCTAGCCTTGAAACTTAACTACAAAGTTTGTTTTTCTCTTTCTGATATAATGCAAAACATTGTAAGTTCAATCTCTTACCAATTTGATTTTCTATATACTCCCATATTAGTGAAACACAGCTGTCATGTGTAGTCCTCTCAGGATGCCTTCAAATTAGTTATGAGAACCTTGAAATTGATGCGAGAAGAATACGTTCGAATGTGCATATGATATTTCTAATATAAGAACAAATCCTTAGGACTTGATTTGAATTTGATTTACATTCCTACGGAGTTAGTAGGTGAAATTTGATTTTTGGTGTCAATTAGATAGATCAAACTCAGGATGCCTAACCGATACTAAATGAAAACTCAATGAAATTTTCATTTTGTGATCAAACGGAAATCAGAGTCCAATAAAGAAGAAGTTCTAATTGTGTTCACTTGTGATCTTCCATACTGCTTACAAATCATACACTCTTGTTAATGAATCACTAAAATTAGCTCCATTTTCCTTAAATAAATTTGGTCATCTTTAACTGAAAAGATAGTTGGTGGTCTCAGATTTGTGCTTGCCTGTGATTGAAACATGTTGCAGGAAAGAATTGCAGAAGCTGATAATGCAATTGAATCTATTGTTCGCTTTCTTGGACGTCGTGTTGGAGAAAGGAAGTTAGCAGTGACATTGCTACTGGAACTGTCAAAAAGTGAGTCACTACGAGACTGCATTGGGAATGTTCAGGGTTGCATACTCCTCTTGGTGACTATGTCAAGCAGTGATGACATTCAAGCTGCCTCAGATGCCAAGGAGCTTTTGGAAAATCTGTCATTCTCTAATCAGAATATTGTCCACATGGCAAAGGCAAATTATTTTAAACATCTCCTGCAGCGTCTTTCTTCAGGTTCTTTCCTCTAATATGATGTCCTTTTAGGGTTTAGAAGAATTATTGATATCAGTATGTTATAGTGGCATTATAGCAATTGAATCATCATTTGAAACTCATTTAAATGCTAAAACTATGAGTAAAATAAGCCCACAGAATGTTGAAATATTGATAAATGCTTTAAATTTAACATATGGAGTAGCCTGGAAAGGACCCTGACATGTAGGGCCGCAAGTTAACTGAGTTGTTCATAATAGCTCGGGCTCGTTCATTAAGCAAATGAGCCAAGCTTGAGCTTGATTTCTAGGCTCATTTAGTAAATGAGCCGATCCTAAACAATATTGGGTTCGATTTGTGCAAGCTCATGAATATATTCATGAACATAGGGTTTGTGTCGTATAAATTCATGAACAAGTCGAAATGGTCTCGAACACGAGCTTAAATTGAGCCCAAATGACTTTCATTATTAAATGAGCCGAGCCTGAACTTTTCAAAATAATAATGAGCTGAGTCCGAGCTCAGCTTTTTGAGCTCGTCACGAACCTGAGTTGAGCCCACACATGAACGAGCCGAGCCCGAACAGACTCAAGCTCAGTTCGGCTGCTTCGGCATGGTTCATTTGCAGCCCTATGAGATTTTGCTCTCAAGTCCTAACTTTCTTCTCATATTGGAACTCCTTTTAGTGGGAACCCGATAATAATGTATATGGACTGAGTTGTAGAAAGATGTAACTCAGGAACTTCTTTTCAGTAAGAGGTTAAGATGAAAATAACCAAAAAGGTTGAATCCAGTGGCATTCTGCTGAAATAATTAGACATATGCGTCTTACAGAATCACAAGGAGCCTAATTTCTCGAGTTTGTAGGCCTTGTTGATACAAGGGGAAAGATTAAAATGACATGAAAAAAGGCAACGTGGAATGATGCAATCAATGAAAAGAGTTTAGTTTAGTGGAGCGATGGCCCTGCAAAGATGCAATCAATGAAAAGAGTTTAGTTAGTTTGAGCTCTTTATAAGGGTACTGATGTTAAACACTGGGCCAAAGAGGCAATCAATGCAAAGAGTTTAGTTAGTTTGAGACTCTTTATAAGGATACTGATGTTAAGCATTTCTTCTTGCAACTGTCTGCTTCACTCTGCTATTTAAATTTCTACTTTGTGTGTGTATCTATACACATTCTCATTGGTAAACTGTCTTTCTAAATGCACTGACCAATTAATAAGAGGAGCTATAGTATGACATGAATACTATAGCTTAGTTTTATTTCCTTTTTTTTTTCTTTTCTTCTTCTTTTTCCTTATATTTTATGCCTTCAATTGGAATATCAGTGTAAATTGTTTGTCTCGCCCAAAATTCTGATTTACGTGAAAGAATAATGGACTAGCGCTGATGATTAAAATACACTTTGTGAGAGATTTCCTCATAATGCAGTAATAACTTAAAGAGAAGATGCATAATGCGCTTGTTCCAAATGCCACGACTCTCATATTCGCTTCTTAATCTTTCACTGAGACCTTGTTTGATAACTTCATCATTTCATGTAACTTCCTCTCGCAATAGAGAAATGACTTTATCTCTGCAAAGAAGAAAATTTATAAATAAGTTTTCAACAAAATTAGAGTGGGATGGATGAAATGGAGAAGTGTTTCTGAAAGAAAGAGAAAGGAGATGACTACTTGACCAAATTACTCATCCAACCATAGTGCAAGAAGATTACTGACTCTTACCTTTCTCCTTCTTTCTCTTACTTGCACAAATTGTTTTTTGGAGTCATTTGGAATTCATCCTAGGATTTTTTATTGACACCTAGAATCTTAGCTTCTTTAGCGAAGATTGCAGTAATATCTGGTTGAATACTGATACTCTTGATAATTATTCTATTCGTGGTTGATTTCTTTTCAAAATTCAAGTCTAAATCCTTGTGGAATTAATTGTTATTCACACCAAACAATAGATTCTTTCATCAATACATTATTACTCGGTACTGATATGGAGAAACAAATTTTCCTACATTGCAACTTTTGTTATATTGTTTTGCCAAATCTTTAACAATGCATGAGCTGATTGATTTATTGAAGGTCAAATTCATCCTCAATGTTACATCATTCATGGAATGTTATTGAAATCGTATGTAATAAATTTGAATCGATTTCATAGAAGAACAACATTTATAATGATAATGTAAAAGGGGTATACTAATATATTTACTTCTTATCTGTTGGAGATGGTTGAGATATAGGTATACAAATGCTGATGTCTACATCTAAACACTTCTAAATCATCTGTGATAATTTGCATCTAATGTCCGGCTGATTGTTTAACTTATTATCAAATAAATTATATAACCCGTGAACACTGGGCTATCTGTTTCTGCAGGACAAGATGACATAAAAATGATCATGGCATCAACTTTGGCAGAAATGGAGTTGACTGATCACAATAAATCATCGCTGCTCGAAGATGGTGTACTAGGTTCACTTCTTGACCTGCTTTCACATGATGATATTGAGATGAAGAAAGTAGTAGTTAAAGCTCTTCAGAACCTCTCAAGCTTACCAAAGAATGGTCGGAAGATGATAAGAGATGGTGCTGCAGGGCCATTACTCGACCTTCTTTACCGTCACACATCATCACCACTACGTGAACAGGTTGCTGCCACAATTATGCATCTTGCTATATCAACTGTAACACGAGATTCCAATGAGCCACAGGTGTTGCTGTTGGAATCTGATGATGATATTTATAGACTTTTCTCCTTGATTAACCTAACTGGGCCTACTGTACAACAAAGCATTCTTCGAGCTTTTCATGCCATGTGCCTATCTCCTTCTGCTACTATTATCAAGACCAAGTTAGCACAGGTACATACCTTTGTGAGGAAGATATTTCCTTTTTTATGAAAATTTGACATCCTCTTTATGGATAGACAACATAGAAACTGTTGCCACAAACAAGTAGGGTATATATTGTGAAACAATGGTCATTTTGCTCAAATTACCTTCTTGTGTCCAAAAACAATGTGTTCAGATGTAGAAGTGGAAATGATTTCTCATGTAACCACAAAAAATAATAATAATAATAATAATAATAATAATAATAAATAAATAAATAAATAAATAAACGAAAAGGTAAAGAGTGCCTAGTTTCTCAAAAACTTGCAAAATGGTGTCGAGAAATCTCGTTGGTAAAGAGGTCCTACTTTTAAGAAGGATATATGCAATTCAATATATCTGTCAATAAAAGCCTGGAACCTAAGAAAATAGCTAGATGTTAATTCCATTTGTGACAGAAGCACCCTTAAAAGCATTTTAGTATCAGTTGGTCTTTATATATATATATATATATATATATATTCTTTCTTCCCCCTTGCCCTTTCTAACGTCTTTGCATGTGGGGGTGCCTATGAAGAGAGTACTGATTCCTTTTTCCTTCCGTATTTTGTTTCCTGCGGACTAGAAAATTATAACCTGTTATGGCCTTCCTTTATGACCTTTAAGCATTTAGATTCTAATTTTTACAATCCTCTCACGCTTTTGCTTATTTGTTTTCATCACTACCAATGTGATCTTTATTATCAGTTGGATTGTTACTTACTCTTGGTGATTTGTTGCATTTACAGTGCTCAGCCGTGCAAGTATTGGTACAGTTATGCGAGCTCGATAACCCTAATATAAGGGCAAATGCCATTAAGCTGTTCTGCTGCTTGACAGAAGATGGTGATGAAGCCACCATCTTAGAGCATGTTCGTCAGAAGTCAATTGAGACCATACTCCAGATCATTAAAACTTCTAATGATGAGGAAGAAATTGTTTCAGCAATGGGTATAATCTCTAACCTTCCTGAAGACTCCCAGCTCACTCAATGGCTACTAGATGCAGGGGGTCTTCAGACCATTTCCAATTTTATTTCCAATGGCAAGAATAACAGTCCTCATAACAAACAGTTAATAGAGAATGCTGTTGGAGCTGTATGCCGTTTTACAGTTCCAACAAACCTGCAAGCACAGAAGAAAGCAGCTGAGGCTGGTGTTATTCTTGTGTTGGTACAGTTGCTAGACTTTGGAACTAGCTTGACAAAAAGACGAGCAGCCATTTCACTTGCTCAATTTTCAAAGAATTCCCTTGGGCTTAGTCGGCCGATTACAAAGCATCAGAAATTCTGGTGCTTTTCAGCTGCACCAGAAATGGTGTGCCCAGTTCATCGGGGAATCTGTACGGTGGAATCATCATTTTGCCTTGTGGAGGCTGGTGGAGTGGAACCTCTTGTGAGAGTTCTTGGGGAACCAGACCCCGAAGCATGTGAAGCTTCTTTAGATGCACTGTTGACTTTGATTGAAGGTGAAAGACTGCAAAGCGGTAGTAAGGTGCTTGATGAAGCAAAAGCCATACCTTCGATAATAAAATTACTTAGCGCCCCTTCCCCCAGATTGCAAGAGAAAGTTCTGAGTTCTTTAGAGCGAATTTTTCGACAGGTGGAGTTCAAATACAAATATGGAGCCTCAGCTCATATGCCTTTAATTGACCTGACTCAGAGGGGAAATACTAGTACAAAATCTTTGGCAGCCAGGATACTTGCTCACTTGAATGTCCTTCATGAGCAGTCCTCTTATTTCTGAAGGTTTTTTTAGTGTTTCATAGCTCTCATCATGTGAATGTAACTCCCTCTAATCAGTTTTCAGGAGGTTGTTCTCTGCTTGCTCATAGAACTCCCCCCGGGATTCTTTATTATGCAAGCGTCATGGATTTGTGTAGGAATTCAGATCATCCATTATACCAGGCGTAAAGCATCGTCCCTCTTGCATGTTTAGCAGGACAGAACATCTTTCTCCTTTCATCTTCGAGTTGGCTCAGCAGCAATTTGCTGCAAAAGCAAGACTAGTGGTGGTTATACTTGGATCATACTCATGGTTAAATATATGGGGAGCATGCATGCCACATGTGATGGATGTGAAGTGGTGCTTGTGGTGGTTGCTCACCACCGCATGACAGTATAACCATAATATGGATCGAATTCAATTTGTCATTTGTATAGTACGTACGTGAAGAAAGCAAAGGGCTGCTGAAGTGTAAGGAGAGATCTTCCATGGCTTGTATTATTAGCACTGAAGGATCAGTTGTTTCAGTAATAGAAGCTTGACGTGTCTGTGAATGCAGTGTAAGGAGATGAGAAATCAATGAAAGCCACCATTGGGATTGGACAGACTGATGCTGCAGACTAGATTCTTTAGAATTAAGTATATTATTTTCTGTGATTGATGATATAGATAGCTAGCTAGTAGCTTATTCGATTCGGTTGCATCTCTGGAAAATTAGTTTTAAAGAGTGAAAATAAAAGACCAAGTCTGAGTTCAGTTCTCTCAAACTTCTGATCAAAATTACATGCAAGCACGTGAGTTTACGTGCGCTTAAGAGTTGCATGCATATATATATATATATATATATATGTTCGTGTGTGCTTGAGAGAGTGAGAAAGAGGCAGTTAAATGATGATAGAAAACGTGGTCAACCCAAATGCGTTTAAATGTCTATCTAACCATTAAAATCTGTAAAATTTGTCAGGGTACAAGTTGTAACTGACATTTACTTGGGCCTGTTTGGCATATGTTTTATTTTAGACGTTTTGTTTTTGGCTAAAACAGAAATGTTTTTGCAATAAGAGTCGTTTTGGAAAAAAATTGGAAACACGTTCAGGAACGATGTTTTACTGTGGAAATGTCGGAAACAGAAACATGCACAGTTATAGTTTTGGGCCATGAAGAGTTGTCAAAACAAGAAAAAAAACATATTTTTGGTATTTTGGTTTTGGGTTATTGTTCACGAAGTGTTTTAGCACTGTGTAAAATAAAATTAGACTGCACCAAAGATGTTTTTATTGTCAAAATCGACATTGTAACAGTCCAAAAATAAAAACAGCAGAAACAAAACGCATGTCAAACGAGACCTTAGCGATCAATCGCATGTCAAACGAGACCTTAGCGATCAATTAGAATATTTGACATACGAATTTTGACTAATGGTGTTTAGAAGTGACCGAATCCACTTCTTTACACCTTGGAGTAGTAAATATTTATTTTTTTGAATAATGATGCGGAGCAAAATATTCTTTAGCCAAAATGTTCTGCTAAGTAGTTTAGGATACATTATCCCACTATAGAAGCATAGACAAAAACCCAAAATGTTCTGCTAAGTAGTTTAGGATACATCATCCCACTATAGAAGCATAGACAAAAACAGTTTGACTAAGTTGGTTTTTACGAGGGTGTTTTGCGTGAGTGCCATTACTTTTTGTTTTTTTATGGGTTCAATTAGAATGAAGCGGGGGATAACTCTTTTTCTGAGTTGGTAACTACAGTAATAAATAGTAATATACATGGAAAATACCCCTAAGAAATAGATGTGTCCATGCCCAGTTCAGAGCCACACCATAGGTCATAACCCTAAGAAGACACATTTTAGTAAGTGGTGAACTACTTTATTACTCCTTAAAAAATACTATGAGATTGATTCCAATATATATATATATATGATGTGTAGTAGAGCTTAGCTTATCAGCTATTTGGTTGGTGAGCTAATTATAGATATTGTCACATCATCCATCACATAGGGTCAAATTTTGTTATGAACCAACTGAAGCAAATACATGCCTACACCCTCAGAAATGGCACAGACTTCTCCCGGTTCCTCATTGTCAAACTGCTTGAAATCCCCAACATCCCGTATGCCCACGCACTGTTCGATCTTATTCCTAGCCCAGCTTTCTATCTATATAACAAGCTCATTAAAGCATACTCTTCTCATGGCCCTTACCATCACTGTTTGTCCCTCTTCAATCAAATGTGCCTCCAAGGTTTCTCCCCAAACCAACACACCTTCACTTACCTCTTCTCTGCTTGTGCTTCCCTTTCCTCCCCGCGCAACGCTCAAATGCTCCACACCCATTTTATCAAATCTTTTTTCCAATTTGACATGTATGCTTTAACAACTTTGGTTGACATGTATGCTAAACTGGGTTTGTTGGCATGGGCTCGCCAACAATTTAATGAAATGAGAAGAAGAGATGTGCCCACCTGGAATTCGATGATTGCGGGGCATGCTAGGTGTGGGGATATGGAGGGAGCATTAGAATTGTTCGGTTTGATGCCTAGGAGGAATGTGATTTCATGGACAACAATGATATCTGGATATTCACAGAATGGGCAGTACGGAAAGGCACTTGAGATGTTTATGGTTATGGAGAAACAGAAAGGAGTGAAGCCAAATCAAGTGACAATAGCTAGTGTTCTTCCAGCCTGTGCAAACACTGGGGCATTGGAAGTTGGGCAGAGGATTGAATGGTATGCAAGGGTAAATGGATACTTCAAAGATATGATTGTATGCAATGCTATACTGGAAATGTACTCCAGGTGTGGTTTGATCGATATGGCAAAGCGAGTGTTTGATGAGATTGGTAGCAGGAGAGATGTGTGGTCTTGGAATTCAATGATCATGGGTTTGGCTATCCATGGAAAATGCAACGAGGCTCTTCAACTTTTCCATGAAATGCTGGTGAGTGAGTTTGTCTGTCTGTCTCTCTATGGCTGATGATGCTACTTACCCATTATTATTATTATTATTATTATTATTGTGATTATAATAACTTCTTGTTGGGTTGCTTCCCACTAACATAAACCATAAACATGGTTCGTGTCTTTATGTTGTTGACTGTTAATAATAACCAGAGAGAAGGAATGGCACCTGATGATGTCACTTTCGTGGGGGTTTTGTTGGCATGCACTCATGGAGGCAAGGTTGAAGAAGGCCGCAAACTATTCGAATCAATGGAACACAAGTTCTCGATCACTGCCAAAAAAGAACACTATGGTTGCATGGTCGATCTCCTAGGCCGTGCTGGAGAATTGCATGATGCTTATGAGCTCATACAAAGTATGCCTATGAAACCAGATGCTGTAGTATGGGGAGCTATGCTGGGAGCATGCAGTTTCTCTGGCAATGTTGAGCTGGCTGAAAGAGCGGCAGAGTATCTCTTTGAGCTTGAGCCATGGAATCCAGGAAACTACGTAATTCTTTCCAATATATATGCAAAAGCAGGCCAATGGGATGGAGTTGCGAGGCTAAGGATGCTGATGAAGGGCTGCCAGATAACCAAGGCTGCAGGATATAGTTTTATCGAAGAGGGAGGCCAAATTCACAAGTTCATCGTAGAAGATAGGTCGCATCCAAGATCTCACGAGATATATGCGTTACTGGATGAAATTTCCATTAGGTTGAAGCTTCATGGAAATCCATCTCATTTAGATTATGCCGTTGAACAATTGTGCATAGTCAACTAGATTCTATTGTTTCTATTTATTGAACCGTAATCTCTCTACATTATTTAAATTACAACACAATATATCTAAAATTGACAGATATTTAAACATAAATATGTAGCTTGATGTTTGCATGATAAAAGGAATGAGACAATGCATCAAGCCCGAGCCGGTGCACGTAGTACAAATGTATTGGTTGAAGTTGAGTAAAAGGAGAACAAATCTGTTGAGATAAGCACTTCAACAAATAACTAAAATTCGTTTCTCATTTCATTTCTGTTAATTTTCCGAACAAACATAATTAATGTCACTCCATCAATATGGAACAAGGTATTGTTGTGCAGCGAGAAAGAAAGAAACATATATGAACGAAAATTATTTCTTAAAACCTCAACATTTTTTCTTCTAATTAATGACCTGCGGAAAGACAATGCTTCACCAAGCGGGAACCTGATACACAAATTATGCTGTCTTTATCTTTGCTTTCCATCTTCTACTCCTTACCACAAATTTAAGGAGCTCATCAATTAGAATCACTGGTGCTGAAACCAAAATGACCAGAAGCCATTCGTTCAGGCTTAGTGGAACAACAGCAAATACATCTGCTAGGAAAGGAACATAGAGTATCAGGCAGTGGAGCCCAAATGAGACCGACATTGCAACAAGAAGCCATGGATTCCTCCAAGGTGGCATTCTAACCAAACTGTTGTCTTCAGAAAGGGCATTTAGGGAATTGAACATCTCAATCGCCACCAAGACAGAAAGTGACAGAGTCACTGCCTTCACTTTACCAACAGAAAAATAGTCACAAGGGTTTGAGAAAGTAATCACACGGCCTCCACCAACTGTGAATGGAGTTGCAGAGAAATTTGCCCATGAGGAGCACTCTCCCCAGTTGCGAAGCTGAGATAATTCAACAAGTGTGTGCCCATCACTTAGAATATTGATACCCAACAAAGAAGCCTGAGTGTACCACAAGATAAAAATGCCCACGGTTGCAATGCCCACATATGAACCTATTACCTGTAATTGCATACATAATAGTGATTTAATAAGTATTAACATAATTTATTTTTTCTTTTTTGCTCAACACATAGTAATAGTCCTCTAACTAAATTACTTCCTTGTGGAGCACACGATAAGGGGATTGAATTCTGCCGTTTAAGTTGTAATATACATACACAAGCATGCACTCTCATAAACAAATGCAAAATTCATGCCAAATGACAGCAAGAAAATCCATTGACGGGACTGCAGGCTAACAACTAGGGTATACACAATGTGAAATAATAAGAATGAAGTTGCTTATTTTACCACTGAGACTTTAGCTCAAGTGTCAACTCCTCTACCTTCCACATGGAAAGTTGAGGGTTAGTCCTCAATGGGGCAATAGTAGGTATGTGTATTATCTGCCAGGTGAAAAAAGAGTTGCTTATATTGTCTTGATAAAATTACAACATCAAAATTCATAATAACATTGGTGTGAATTTATTAATATCTGGTGAAACTCCAGCCCAGGAATTCGACTAAAATTACTACTTGAACCTTCATGTCCTGAAATACATGGATTGTGATCACTGGGGGAAACTACACATAATGTGGTTGTATTGAATGGAAATAATATGGGATCAAAAGCACATGTAATCTAGTTAAAACTATTGCATAGTGGGAAATTACGAGGGTAATTTAATTTCTATTTGCTGTAATATCATGCTAGTTATCATTGTTCTGTGATAACCAACCAATGGTGGCATAATAGCCTCTCAAGTAGAACCTGCTTTAGACTTGCTACTTATATATCGTTCAAATAGTATTTTCAAACAAATTTAAATATCCCCATGAGCGGAGCATCGGGGGAGGAGGACAGTCCAGCTCACACCTCATCATATACCCCACCCCACCACGAGTTACAGGGACTCTGCCAAGCTCCCACAGACACAAGCTCTTCAAAGTTTCAACCACCATCAAATTACACACTCACAGTCCATTGCTAAAATTAATACTGAAGTGGCAAAGATGTAACACAATCAATAAGAATAACATTTGTTGGAGAAAAAACTCATTTTATACCAAAATATGTTAGATTCTCAATTACCCAATTAAAGCTTTTTTTGCTCAAAGTTACCACACGTTAATAAATCATGTTCTGAGCGTTGAACAAACAACTAGCTATAATGCTGAAGGTGCAAATGCTTGCACCTGTATCTTACTCGTTAGCTTTCTACGATAATGTAAACACCTTGGTTTCCAAGCCAAATGGGATTTTAATGAATCGACAATTATTACACATCTTAAACCATAGAAAATTTTAATTACTAATGATAATAATATGCAAAATCTGGGATACGAATACTATTACCATTCATTTTAAAAATGGGAACTCATCTTGAAATTCGGGGTTGGTAGACAAGAAGGTTAGGCAAATAGGAAACTATGAATGACCAGGGGCTATGTGCTAAAATCAAAGAAAAACAGCAATAATCAACACTAACCATGTATCGAAAGAGAACCCAAGAGTTTATTAGAGCATCATCACTTTTGCGCGGCGGTTTTTGCATTATATCAACATCAGCAGGGTTAAACCCAAGAGCTGTTGCAGGTGGGCCATCAGTGACCAAATTGACCCATAGAAGCTGCACTGGCATCAAACATTCTGGTATGCCCAGAGCAGCAGTCAAGAATATAGATATAACCTCCCCAAAATTAGATGATATCATGTACCTGCAGATTAAAAAAAGGCTCTGTTAACTGCTCCAGGAAAAGATTACAAAGAAAAGTCATACCTGATAAAAGCTTTCATATTATTATAAATAGAGCGACCCTCAGCAACAGCTGAAACAATAGTGCTGAAATTATCATCTGCCAGCACCATATCTGAAGCTTCTTTTGCAACCTGGAATATTGGATGGTCAAAGGATAACAAGTGACCGTTACTTATGAAGTCAGAAAGAATTTATGCAGTCAAAATGTAAAACAAAAATGAATATTGGAACAAAGTCACTAAAACAAATCATAGGTATTGTTGTGACAAACCACAACAAAGCACAAAGTCAAACAAGAAATATGCAATGGCCACAAAATGAGAAACCACACGCCAGACTGAACACAAAGAATAAAACATGGTTCAGCTTATAGCCTACGTCCACCATTGAAGACAGCAAAAGATTCCACTATGCAAAAAAGAAAGACGTAAAGTCTCTCAAACTCTAACCTCAATACACCCTTTCTATGTCTCACTCTCTATTTCGGGATTTTCGCTATTCAACCTGAACAATACAAACCCTAACACACTGAAATATATCGAGTAACAATAGAGACTAGAGACCAGGTCAAAACCCACAGAAGTATCCATAAATCGGGTCGAAACTGAGTTGCAACACCTTGAAGAATTCAGGCTACAACTGAACTTCCTTGAAGTTCAGGAAAATCAAATGTCGGCCATTGGCTAGAAGTGCTAACATGCACGATGTGTTGGGTTGGTGACTCAAATTCTTGAAGTTTGATGAATGTTGAAGAAGTCCCACTTTAAGTCCGACCGGTCCGATTTGGTTCTTTTGTAACACATTGCTAAGTCCCACCACTTATGTGGGACTGGTCAAACTTGTTATGGATATTTTAATAATATATATATATATATATATATATATATATATATATATTTAATATATTAATTTATTATATATTAAGGTTATATTTAATAGCATGGTTTATTTCTTTTAAATCCCTTATTGAATTGGACTAATTACATTCACATTCCTTGAGATTTGCCCTATTGACAACCAGATGATTTTTGAACAATCACTGACACAGGACAAGTAGTGTGTAAATAGTAACCAGAAAGAAAGAAAAGGAATGAGAATGAGAAGATGAGATGAGACTTACAAAGGAGTGACAAAATAGACGAATGAGATGAGAAATCAGACTGAAGGAGGTAGGCTAGAGAGACTGAGGGATTAAGAACAACAACAACACGAGGGAGAATAGATACAAAGAGAGAGAGAGTTTGCAGACTCAACGATAATAGTCAATATTCCAAAAACTGATTTGTCTAATTACATTTGAGCCTTTATATAGGCAAAACATAAACAAACTCTAAAACAATAAAGTACTAAAATACACCCAAAATTAAAACATTACAAAAAATAACCATAAACATAAATAAAAACCTTAATTTACTAATATCCTTAATTCTATCTTTCTTTTCCCCTTCTCCAATGATAAGTTCGGGTCATATGTGGTTCTAGCTCTTGAGTTGTGCCTTGTTCTCCACAAATTCTCCTTGGCTGAGAAGAACTCTTCTTCGAAGACTAAAACGGCTCAAAATAACTCGGATCAAAATGGCAAGACTTGTCTGTGTATCTGTATCTATACGTGTGTGCAAGAGAGGGAAGACCTATGTGTATCTATATATGTGTACATATGTGTGTGCGCGCAAAATTGGGAAGAATCGATTTCAATTGTCTATATATATATATATGACTCTCTGCAAAAAAGGGAAGAAACGATTTCAATTGTCTTTATATGAGTATCTGTATATATGTGTGTGCAAGAGAGGGAAGAAGCATGATTTGGGGGTTGTTGTGGGCTTATAGCCATGGTGGTGATGAGTAATGGTGGTAAGTGGTGGAACAATCCAACGAGATGGTGGTTGCGGTGGCGAGTGCAGAGAGATGGTGGCGGTGGTTGAGGAGAGATGGTGGCGATAACAGTGGTTGAAAGATGGTGGTGGTACACAGAGAGAGGAAGAGAAAGAGTGTGTGTTTGGGCTAGAAGCGTATGAAAATCCTTGGACAAAGTTGTCATTTTACAATTTGAGATATTTTTTTCTTTTTATTATTAAGATAAAATTAAATATTGAAGGACAATCTTGTCTTTTCCCCGTGTTTAAGGGCCTGTTCAGATCCAAATTCTGACCAGGGGGTGTCATTGTTCAAAAAGAAGCCTACTTTTATATGGATGTCAATAGGGAAAACCTCAGGGGTGTGAGTGTAATTAACCCTATTAAATTTTATCGAAGTCGTTACCTTTCTATGCACCTAAAAGACACCATCTTTATCTTTTGTGGTAATTCAAGTGAAGTTGACATTCTTGAGAAAAAAACCTTTCATATATTCTTCTCTATATATTCCTTTCTTTGTTCTACTCTTTCTTATATGTATATGAGTGTTTGAGTATTTTACGTATTGACTGGGCAACGGGACTTATATAGACTTGGACCTAGGCTTCTTGTGGTCGTGCACATAGAGGAGACGCCGCTGCGAGCTGATTGGGCTGCATCTTCGCCAATACCCACACTAAGGAGAGGACTATCAACTTTAGGTCAATGTGTTTACACGTGCCTCTACAATCAGGCTAACTCTTTCTTATCTATTTTACTATTGTTGTTTTCATTTCTTAATTTATGTTATTATGTTAATTTTCTATTATTGAGATTATTCTACATTATATTCTATATACTATTGCCAACCACTTTTGTTCACATTGATGTATCATTCATTGTGTTGTAAGAATTGCAAAGTGTTATTGATGTATTATTCGAAGTTATTTAGTAATAAATTATTCATTGTTTTATTTTATTGAGTATCAATAGATTGTTCTATTGTTGTTTGTGTTTTTTCTTTAAAATATGTTCCTTTTCCACAACAAAACTTGCCTAAAATATGCGAGAATAGTTTCCTTAATTCAGAAATTGCTTTCCTAAATGCTGCAGACTTGTTGGGCAACAAGTTGTTTTTTTTTTTTTTGTAATTAAGGAAGTTGTCTCTCACTTGAATTCCATTTTGGAGTTAGTGATCGATATGGTAACTTTTTGTTAGACAAGAACAAGGAATGGGTTGAAGACTTCATAAATAAAGGTGGAGTTGGTGAAAGAAGGTAGAGAAAAGAAAAAAGGTTTGAATGGGTGAGGAGAGAAGAGAGTGGGTGAGTGTAGAGAGATGTAGCCTCATAAGAAGTAGGTTGGCTCTTAACCAGAAATCAAGAGCAGGTTAGCTTTGAGCCCAAAAAGAGCTAGTGAGGTTGGTTGGTAGATAGACTTCTTATGGGATGGGTTGAGAGCTATCTACTTGTAATATCTCTTCTTGATTCATAATAGTGAAAGTTTTCTCTCTGTGGACGTAGCCCTAGAGGATTGGGTGAACCGGCGTTAAATATTGTGTTGTTCTTGATTGATGTATGATTGTATCTCTACACGATTGTGTGATTGATGATGTGCTTCCACTGTGCTTGAATGAAGAAGGGATTTATTTCCAAACAACTGGTATCAGACCTAGTTGGAGGGAGTTAATATTTCTAACACAATGATCAACAAATAATTTGGTATATTGAACATTAGCTGTTCATACAAGAAGAATAAATCAGCCAATATTGACCATCCAACATATTGTGCGCACTTAAATGAATCAAATTATTAAATTTTAATATATACCACCAGTGGCCTCAAGAAAATGTCATCACATATCCATATCCCCTGCATAGATCAATAGTAAATATATCTCCCTGAGGTCGAAGAACTTGGGGAGTTTGCTATCTCAATGACGTGATCTAGGAATTACTTTAAGTGACGAGAGAGCGGAGAGAGAGTATAATTCAACAAGTAAAGAGTGAGGTGCATGAATTAAACAGTCCCAGTGAGTGGTTGAGTACGATACCTCTGTCCCAGTGATACCCATGGCGATTCCAATATCGGCAAGTTTCAGTGCAGGTGCATCATTAACACCATCTCCAGTCATTGCAACAATTTCCCCCATCTCCTTTAGCATCCTTACAATTTCTTGCTTGTGCCTAGGCTCCGCACGTGAAAACACCTTCCCTCCAGGTTTTGACAAAATTTTTATTTGTTCTGAAGAGGAAAGAGCCATGAACTCTTTGCCTGTAAAACTTCTCCCTCCGAGATCATCGCCTTCAGAAAACAATCTAATCTCCTGACAGATAGCCTCGGCAGTGGACTTGTTATCACCAGTTATCACCATGACTTTAATTCCAGCTCCTCTACAATCATCAATTGCTTTGTGAACTTCCTCACGAGGTGGATCCTGTTTAATCCAGTTGTTTATCAAAGGTTTCCCAAAAAAATAATTATTGTTAATAAGCAAAGCTGTGAACCTTTAACAAATAAGAGTACCCTTTTATCCTTTTTAAATACCAGACAAATAAGTACACTCACCCTTAGACCAACAACACCTACAAAAACTAGGTTACTTTCAATGGAGGAGTAGCAAGCCTGATCAAGCAATTTCTTGTGGGCAGGATGATTTTCAGTATAGTAGTCTGAAAACTCTCCCATGTCATCCTTGTATGCCAAACCCAAGCACCGCAATCCCTTTGAACTCATCTCCAAATTTCTAGACAATAAAAGTTGCCTACAAGGTTCATCAATTGGAACAAGTGACCCATCTGCAAGTTGCACGTGTGAACTACGCTCCAAAAGACTCTCAATAGCACCCTGAAAATACCAGTTTAACAGAAATGCAGAACAATAAGATCAATCATGAAAGCATGCACCAATGTGTAAATAAGTAACAAAGGCCAGTGACAGCAATGGAAGGGTATTTGGCAACTGTAGACCAAACCATATGTAAAGCAAAAGAAAATTCAGTTAAAGACATTAGTTTTTCTTTTTTCTTTCTTTCGTTTTGGGGGGGGGGGGGGTGTGTGGGTTTCTGCAGTTGCATTTTCATGAATTATATAATGAAGCAAAATAAATGAAAACCTTCACGTTTAAAATATTACACAAAGTACGATATTGGTTTCTAGGAATCCTTATCCTAGCAGAACATTGTTATAAAACTGAAGTTTGCTCAAAATTCAAACTAGACAAGTTGACTCTCCAGACTATAAAACCCACTCAATAACAATTCAATCAGTTATATTTCACAAAAAAACCTGGCCAACTTGGCAAAAAAGGCTCAAAATTCCATGCCTTTTTAATTAATTTAGCAGCTCGGTGGAAACTACTTAGTTTTCAAGGCATTTTTAATTTTATTTCAGTAACAATAATTAGTTTAGATTGCCATCCATAAAGTCATCACTCAGTTAGCCTCAGCTATGTGGGGTGCTAGGAGGTGAAGACTGGAGACAGACGTAAACTTTGGTATTAATTTTACACAAAGTAGCTATTCTCATACTCCAACCATGCTTGAACTCCAGACAGCACTATGGGAGGAAAAACATTAGAAATATCCAGTTAATCTTTTCTCAAACATTCAAACAGGAGAAAACTCATGCCATGTGGGAAATAGGTAACAGATTGTCAGTGGGAACTCAAACAATGTTAATCTCACTCCTTAAAACAGACGGGCATGAACAGAAATAACAGTTACCTTGACAAGAAGTCGATTATTCCCAGTTGGCTCACGGACGATTACACTCATAGACTTGCGAACACGATCAAACTCCAATGTAGCAAGTCTCCTTGATCTTTTCGTCCACCATTCACAACAGCCTATACTAAACAGTAATGAATACAAAACCATATTCTCATAGTATAATTGCAACAAATACAGATATCATATAAAGGAAGTTTCCTGCTCACCTAATTTAACAGTGTCGTGGTCAATCAAATAGTTTGCTGCAAGCTGTGAATCACGGATTTTGCTCTTTACCTTGCTGTCTGGAACACCCATCTTCTCCACCAAAACCTTAAGAGCTGCCTCAGTGGGCAGACCTGTTGCTCGAAAGAGGCGGCCATTGCTGAAAATACCAGCATCATTGCAGACTGCACAAATTTCTGCAATAGCTTGCAAGTTAGCGTCCATATTATAGCAGTTCCAATCAACAATTTCCCCATCTCTAGGATCATAAGTTGTCCCTTCAACACGAAAAATTCGAGACGTGGTGGTTTTCCCTCCTAAAGTGAAAAATTCTGTCACAGACATCTGATTTGTTGTCAGAGTCCCAGTTTTGTCTGAACAAATGACAGTTGTACATCCTAAGGTCTCGACACTTGGAAGCTTTCGTACAACGGCATTCTTTTGTGCCATTTTCCTCGTACCCAGAGCTAAACATGTTGTGATTACAGCTGGAAGACCTTCTGGGATTGCAGCAACTGCAAGGGCAACAGCTATCTTGAAATAATATGTGCACTTCTCAAAAGAAAATTGGAAATTTGTAGGCCATCCATTCACAATATCCCATATGAGGAAATATTTATAGTTAATAACCCACACAATGAGGCAAACAAGGCCAATTGCAGTTGTAAGTCTATTCCCAAATTCATCAAGCTTCTTTTTCAAAGGCGTGTTGCTCTCTTCCAGAGAAGCCTCATGAATTTGCCTTTGAATCTTGCCAATCTCAGAGTGCATCCCAGTGCTTATGACAACACAAATGCAGCTACCATTCACAACTGTTGTGCCCGCAAACACCATATTTTCTTTAGCCTGCAATTCACAGTCATCCACGAAAATAGGATTAGTGCCTTTTAGAACAGGCATTGCCTCTCCAGTCAACGAGCTCTGTTCAACTCTTAGGGTTGAGGTTTTCAAAACTGCAACTCGCATGTCAGCAGGGACTTTATCACCAACCCGCAATTCCACAATATCCCCAGGGACAACTTCTCTTGCTGGCAAATCTGGCACTAAATATCCATCTCTTAAAACCCTGCAAGATTCACATTGCATCTCTTTAAGGGCTTCAAGTGCCTTCTCAGCATTAGCCTCTTGCCAAACTCCCACAATGGCATTAAGTACTAAAATCAACACGATCACAAATGGCTCCACATAGGCTTCAACCCCAGATTCCCCAGATTCATTTCCATGCAAGTGAGCTAGAATGAAAGATATGAAGGCTGCAATTAGAAGAATTTTTACAAGCATGTCATCAAACTGTTCTAATACGTGTCGCCACAGGGGCTTCCCCTTCTCTTTCTTGAGCTCATTCCAACCATATCTCTCACGCCGCTTCTCAACCTCAAATGTGCTAAGACCCTTATCTAGTTTCACTTGGTACTCTTTCAAACACTGATCAACTGGCCATGACCATGCAGGGAATGATTTTTCATCCATCAATTGTTCCATGTGGAGTTCAAATGTCACTCCAACCAAAACTTCTACATATATTCTCTTAAACCAATTTCAAATCCCTATAAAGAAGTTCTGATAAGTGCACAAAACACATCATTTTATGCACTCAAATAAATATTTTATTAGTATTTTATATTATTTAAGTATTATTATATATAGGTTTTATGTTTTATAGATATAAATTCCAGAATGAGAAGAAAAGAAGCAAAAATGGCAGAAAATGAGAATGTATGGCAGCAGAAAGGATGAGAATTATTTATGGCTAAAGAAAAGAATCAAAAACATTGCAGAAGAGATGGTCCAATGCATAATTTACTTCCCAAGAGGTCTCAAGTTCAAGATTTGCTTGTAGCACAATTGCTTTATTTTTTATACACCGCATTCAAATTCAAAATTGGCACTCCATCAAATCAGCAAATATCAATTCAAATTGGAAAGCAGCATGGTTTTAGGAAGATTTTATTTTCTTATTTTCTCTCCTGTATTTTGATTTTCAAATTGTTTTCTTTTTCAGTCCTAATTCCTCCCTTCTAAACTGTATAAATAGGGACATATGAAGGGAGTTAGGGATATACAGAGAATGAAGGAAAAAAGTGAGAGCGAAACAGAGAGAGCTAAATGGAGCAAGCTCAATCTTTATGTATTTATTTATTTTTCTCATTCAATAAAATTAGTTATGTTTTCATCTATTCTTTTCTTGTTCTTATGTTAGTATAATATGTTGGAAGATATATATTATTTCCCTTTATTTTAGGGATTTGATTGATTTCTCACTATTGTAAATTAGAACAAGATTGTAGGACATATTAATTGCAGTAAATTAGGATAGATTGATTGCTTTAAATTAGGAACAGACATCACTATGGGAGGAAAAACATACTTGTACAAGATGTTAATGTTAATATATGAGGCAGAATATTTTACAGAGAGAATTTCTACATGGTATCAGAGAGAAAAGTTTCATCGGTCTGAGCGATTACCGCTGACTTATTCTCTTTGTCCTCATACTCTTGTTCTCTTGGTGTGCAATTGTCTTGGACAACACCCTAAAGCCTAGATTCTAAACACCATACACATCGAAACATGTCTGTTGTTACCTCTAAATCTTCTGATTCTAGTACAGCACCGCCCATTCCTTCGATTGTGACAAATCAACTTGATAACATGAGTGTGCAGATGACTTCTTACAAATTTGATGGGACGAATTATTCTGCCTGGTCCCAGTTTGTGAAGTTGTACATCACTGGAAAGGGAAAGTTGGGGTACTTGACTGGGGTGAAGAAACAGCCGGCAGATACTGAACCTTCCTTCTCTATTTGGTTGGAGGAGAATGCCATGTTGATGTCATGGCTTCTTAACTCAATGACTCCGGATATTAGCGCCAGTTTTCTTCGACTTCCCACAGCTCATGCTGTTTGGGAAGCCATGGCTCAAACCTATTTTGATGTTAGTGATGCTTCTCAGATTTATGAACTAAGGCGCAGGGCAAATGAGACTCGACAGCAAGGGAAGACATTGGCTAGCTATTTTTCTGCTTTGCAGGCCATTTGGCAGGAGCTGGATTTTCTCCAGCCATATGATATGGAGTGTGTTGGGGATACAAATCATACAACAAAGCTAAAGAAGAGAATTGAGAATGAAAGGGTCTACGATTTCCTAACCGACCTCGACCCAGGGTTTGATCAGATCAGAGTACAGGTTTTAAGGCATGATCCTCTTCCTAATCTTCGTGGTGCATATGCCTATGTTCGACGTGAGGAGCTCCGTCAGGCCACCATGCTTACAGGTGTCTCACAGGAGAGTTCAGCCTTGGCTACTATGCAGACTCCAACTGCACTGGTTACTTCTTTCTCGAGGAAACCTAAGAACAAAGAGTCTTTGTTCTGTACACACTGTAATAAGGCTGGACATACTCAACAGACTTGTTTTAAGCTGAAAGGTTATCAAGACTGGTTCCGTAAGAAAGGTGGAAACAAGAGGGATAACTCAAATTCTAGGGCACATCATACAACTTTTGATGTGCAGTCTGATGCACAATCTTCTTTTGCAGCCCAGCCACAATATTCTCAAGCTTAGGTAGATAAAATAATGCAAGAGTATGCTCAGAAGCTATCCTCAAAAGAGGCTTCATGTAACTCAGCCAATACAGGTAACTTTGGATTAGCCTTGAACACTTCTGGTCGTGTTGAGTCATCTTGGATTATTGATTCAGGTACTACTGATCATATGACACGTGAATCTAGATTTTTTTCTTCTTATAACACTCATCCTAGTACAAAGAGTGTTAAAACAACAAATGGATCTACTTTTATTGTGTCTGGGGAAGGTTCCATTCCAATTACTTCTTCGATGTCTCTTTTTAGTGTCTTACATATTTCATGTTTATCTGATAACCTATTGTCCATTAGTCAAATTACTAAGGCTCTTAAATGTTCCGTAACATTCTTTGATACTCATTGTGTCTTTCAGGACCTTCTTACGGGAGCGAAGAGTGGTCTTGGTAGAGAAAGAGGTAGTTTACTACTTGGTTATGAACTGGGCTTCGAATGGAAAAGCAAATCAAATAGTTGGCAGGTCAACATCAAAAGAGCAGATTTGGCTATGGCACAAAAGATTAGGACGCCCTCATTTAGCTATTTGCATAAGTTGTTTCCATCTTTATTCTCCAGCATTGATATTTCTAATTTTCATTGCGATAGTTGTGTGTTAGCCACACACACCATTGCACTTCTTTTCCTTCAAGTTTTAATAAAAATTTTGTGCCTTTCTCAATTGTTCACAGTGATGTGTGGGGGCCAACTCGTGTTCCTAATCATTTAAGTTCTAAATGGTTTGTTTCCATTATTGATGATTGCACTCGTGTTTCATGGATCTATTTGTTGAAAGAAAAAAGTGATGTTTTTGCCACATTCTAATCCTTTCACCAAATGGTTTTGACCCAGTTTAACACGAGAGTACAAGTTATATGATCAGATAATGGAGGGGTGTATTTTAAGAGAGGGCTTGGTGTCTACTTTCAGGCTCATGGCATCATTCATCAAACTTCGTGTGTTGATACACCCCAGGAGAATGGAGTAGCAGAGCGTAAGAATCGCCATCTCTTAAAGGTTGCTAGGACATTACTCTTTACTATTAACATTCCTAAAACTTTATGGGGAGATGTTGTCCTTACTGCAGCATATCTCATTAATAGAATGCCTTCAAAAGTCCTTCAGTTTCAAACTCCTACCAAAACACACGCTATTCCAACTCTTCTTCACATTCCATCAAAAGTGTTTGGCTGTGTTTGTTATACTCATATCCACAAACAACACCGAAGTAAGCTGGATTCGAGAGCACTCATTGGGGTATTCTGCCACAAAAAAGGGATACAAATGCTATCACCCTCCTTCAGCAAAGATAATTGTTTCTATGGACGTTACTTTTGTTGAAAATCAGGCTTACTATTCAGGGGGAGATTCAAATGCTACTCTTCAGGGGGAGAATTTAGGAAATGAAGAGAAGTCTTGGGAGGTGTTGCCACTACCATTAACCAGTGTATCATCATCTATTGAAACTTCTGCATTGACTTCGAAGGAATCTCATGAAAATTCTGCACCGACTTCAAAGAAATTCCTTGAGCCATACAGATTTGTATACTCAAGAAGGGAGAAGACACAGACAAATCAGCCACCTCTTGATCAACCCAATGACCAATTAAGCGCTCCTGTAACTGGTAATCCTGTGGTAATTCCTTCCTCTGAACTCTTTATTGATACTTCTAATGAGTCCGCTCATTTACCTATTGATCAACTTCATCAACCACATGATGCTACTGAATTAGTTATTGAGAATCAGGCACATTATCCCACTCGAGAAAGAAAACCTCCCTCTCGTTTTAGTCTTTCAGTTGTAAAATATCCCATCTCTCATTATGTATCTTCACTGCGTTTATCTTCATCTAATAAAATATTTGCAAACCAGTTATCGTCATTGTTAGTCCCTAATAAGTTACAGGAAGCTCTTGACAACCCCAAGTGGAAAGCTACCATGATTGAAGAAATGGAGGCTTTGCAGAAAAATTCTACATGGGAACTTGTTGAGCTACCAAAGGGAAAGAAGATAATTGGTTGCAAATGGGTATTCACAGTGAAGCATAAGGTAGATGGTTTAGTGGAGAGGTTCAAAGCAAGATTGGTAGCTAAAGGTTATACCCAAACCTATGGGATAGACTATCAAGAAACATTTGCACTGGTGGCGAAGATAAATACAATAAGGGTCCTCTTATCCTTGCCTGCAAATTAAGAGTGGCCTTTTCAGCAGTCCGATGTGAAGAATGCATTTCTTCACGGCAATTTAGAGGAAGAAGTATACATGGACTTTCCTCCAGGCTTTGTGAATTCCTCTAAAAGAGGTAAGGTATGCAGATTGAGGAAATCCTTGAATGGACTCAAGCAGTCACTTAGAGCTTGGTTTGGCAAGTTACTCAGGCCATGAAGAAATATGGATAACACCAGAGCCAGTCGGAGCACACTCTATTTCTCAAACATTCACTTGGAGGTAAGATTACTGCCTTAATCGTGTACGTGGATGATATTGTGGTAACTAGTAGTGATGGTGAGGAGATGGGTAAGCTGAAAGCATATCTGGCAAAAGAATTTGAGATTAAAGACCTTGAGTCTTTACGATATTTTTTGGTATTGAAGTTGCTAAGTCAAAGAAGGAGATCTTTGTTTCCCAAGGAAAATATGTCTTAGACTTATTGGTTGAAACTGGAATGTTGACTTGCAAACCTATTGATACTCCAATTGAACAAAATCACAGGTCAGGTGAATGCACAAATGATACACCTATAGACAAAGAGAGATACCAAAGGTTGGTTGGGAAGCTAATATATTTGGCACATACTCGCCCTGACATAGCCTATGCGGTGAGTGTAGTAAGTCAGTTCATGCATGCTCCTTACAAAACACACATGTTGGCTGTACATAGGATTCTTAGGTATTTAAAATTAGCTCATGGGAAAGGTCTGCTATTCTCCAACCAAGGTCATCTCGAAATGGAAGGATATACAGATGCTGATTGGCCAGGATGTGTAACAGATAGAAGATCAACTTCAGGATACTGCACCTTTGTGGGAGGGAATCTAGTCATGTGGCGTAGTAAGAAACAATCTGTTGTGGCCAGATCCAGTGCTGAAGCAAAATTTAGAGCCATGGCTCATGGTATATGCGAGATGTTGTGGCTGAAGGCTTTGTTAAAGGAGCTGGGCTTTAATTCTAGGGATCCAATAAAGCTTTTCTGTGATAACAAAGCTGCCATTAGCATTGCTCACAATCCAATTCAGCATGATCGTACTAAACATGTTGAAGTGGATAGACACTTTATCAAGGAGAAATTGATAGGTGGATTAATTTGCACTCCGTTTGTGAAGACAGAATATCAGCTTGCAGATTTTTTGACAAAGGGAGTGTCAAGTACGACTTTCAATTTGGCACTTGACAAGCTAGGCATTCGAGACATCTATGCTCCAGCTTGAGGGGGAGTGTTGGAAGATATATATTATTTCTCTTTATTTTAGGGATTTGATTGATTTCTCACTGTGGTAAATTAGAACAAGATTGTAGGACAGATTAATTGCAGTAAATTAGGATAGATTGATTGTTTTAAATTAGGAACAGATTTGTAGGAATATTTTTTATTCTTTTCCTTGTATAGCTTTTCCTCTTTCCTATATATACTTGTACAAGATGTTAATGTTAATATATGAGGCAGAATATTTTACACAGACAATTTCTACATAATAATCCCTTTCAAGGGAGTGATGAAGCCACCATGATTATATTTAGATAAATATATTTTATTTCTTGTATTAAATATTCCTCTAGCGAAAATTCTTTGTGAATCTCATTGATATAAACCTCACAATGAAGGTTAGTGGCTAGAAAAAATAGAGGGAGCATCATTCGTATTAGTGTGATAATGGCGACCATTATTTACAATACATTTTACTAGAGAAATAAAGGAAGGATTATTCATTTTATGCCAATTAATGGAAATATGGGGAATGCCTGCCACTATTTATTCTTTCTAGCAAAAGAGGTAGTCAAGTAGGTTTTACAAGAATATCACTCATGATGGAAAATTTATATAAGAAAGGTAAATTATTTGTTTATATGAATCCGTGGTGATGTATTCTCTTCCTTGAGATTTTTTTTAAAACTTATTTAGTCTTATTATTATTATTTTTATTTTTAGTTTCATTATTCAAGACTCAAAATTTTGTTTTAAAATATTCTTTTTCATCCCATAAATTTTGGTTTAGACTTTGAGTTCTGAATCAAACTTGAGAGTGGTTCGACCCTGCTTATCCTATACCATTTTTATTAGGTATTTGTAGGTTTTATCATTTTTGCACGAGGTGTAGAAGAATAACGACAAATATCCATAATTCCATAATTCTATACCCGTAAAGTTCTTACACAAAACCAATTTAAGGAAACTTGAAATACATCTACTTAAAACAGGTTTATGGTTTTGGTCAAAAAGCCAAGCACATAATCACAGACTATAATTCAAAAAATCAAAAGAAGTAATTAAAAAATATTTATGCGTAGGATTTGTGTTCAAGTCTACAAGAAATTAATGCAAAAAAATTAACATTTATTTGACCTTAAAACAAAAGACTAATTGATGTGAACCGGCAATGGAAATTAATAAGAAAGACTTAAATCACAATAAAAGCTGAAAACAATCTACACGTCTCAATGCGTATCTGCATTAAGTTATGAGGTTATTACTTATTCGCTATAACAAAGCAACAAGGATGGGGGAGACTAAACCCAACAAACACTTGGAATCTAAATTTCAAAACCCCCAACCAACTTAAATATGGGAAGCAAGAGAAAAAATGAACAAAAAAAAAATAAACAGGAAAATTACCAAAAAACCTAAGTGAAAAAAATCAGACAAAAACACCACCAAATTACAAAGACGACTACCAATAGTGAGAATAGAAGTAGTTGGTAAAACAAATATAAAACCAAATAACACAGATACTTATGTAAAACATAGATGAACTTACCAACAATAATCAACCAACCGTCGTCGGAACTATTGTCCCACATGCACGGACTCCAATTTGGATGCAGATATATATATATATATATATCTGACAAAGCAACGTTTAAGCAGAGAAAAATTAAGAAGGAAGAGAGGAATTGAACCTATATGAAGGAAGATATCGATGGAGAAATGGCTTTGAGACAAAGCAACGAATATATATATAAAATGAAGAAATTCTTGAGGGGCTCCACAGAGTACTTTTCTCACATTCAAGGGCTTCGAATTGAATTGAATTGAATTGAATGAGAAGCTGGTTCGTTCTTCGCTCACTTTTGAAGGAAGAGTGATAGAGAGAGTGCGCCTCTGCTTTTTAGACTATCCGACTCGCTCAAAGTGCTTTAGAAGAATTTTGGTACAGTAAAACCAACACTATTCTTGTTTTTTCCTTTTTAAAATTCCTTCCTTCCAAGTGTCAGTTTTTTTTCAAATTTTAAAAGAGCCTATCATGTAATTACAATAAAGCCCCTTGTTTTTTTCTTCCCACTTTTAACACTGATTATGCCTCACTTGTTCACTCCCATCACCGTATCTCCATGCATTCGTATACACAAAATCTGTGTGAAATTCCTGTTTTTTGTTTTTCTCTCTCTAAGGCGTGGGAGTTCAGAGTTCAAACAATACTCTACATTATATGTATATCATAGAAAAGAAATTGGTTGAAATTTATAAAATACAATAAAAAAATCCAAACGTTCACTTCTTCTTTTATCTATTTTTTTGCGTTTTCATTTATGTGTATTATACAATCCCATTCATATTGTTTCTAACAAAGCCGTAGTACTCAATTTCTTCTTTGGAGGGGAGAGACTAATACGATAATACCTCATTGATGGACAAGTGTTTTTTTTTTACCTTGGCACTTGTAGTACAATAGTAAGTTTTACCGTATTAATCTTTTAAAATAAAAGGTCAAGAATTTAAATTTCTATATAGGGGTATAATTGTTATCAAGATTTTTATTAAAAAAAAACTCATAAAAGTTATATAAAGGTTTTAGTTATGTTGCATAATAATGATAAAATTAATTGAGTTGCATAATAATAATAATAATAACTACATCAATAATCGTGTGCATGTATTGCACGTTTTGGCATAAACTAATAAGGGCTATTAACTATACTCATAAGAACGCTACAGATCATTTTAACAGTTGAGCAAGAAATTAAAAAAGAAAAAAGAAGTCTAGGGAACAGTTATTATCGAATATTAAAACACACACGCAAGAGCGGCTCGCACATATATAATTGTGTATAATATATATCTATATATAATATATAAACAGAGGAAATTCCTGGAAAGTTCCTGTTTTTACTTTTTACCTGCAACACCCAAAATGTCAGGTATATTAGTAGTAGTATAAGATAAGATGTTGCAAGCGTGGGTGTGGTCTAAAAAAAGGCGCTTTGATTTTACATGTGTCTCTGCTTAGCCAACCAACCTTCTAAAATTTTATTTTATTTTTTATTAAACCCTCTATAATTTTTAAGTATAGTCGTTGTCCACTTTTCTTGTTCCTGGCCCCTTCCGTCGGTTTTATTATGTTTCTTTTTCCTGTGCTATATGGGTAGTCACTATATCCTACCTTACACAATTATTCTCGGTATCACTTTCACATATCCAACGCGCTCTCATCCTCATTTTTTGTGCGTGTTCTGGTTCAAATGATCGTTATTTTATTTATGACGTTTTCACACTTTTATTCTCGAATTCGCTCTCGCTTTATGTGACTTAGACTATATTTGTTCAAATAATTAATAATAAAAATAAACTTACAAAAGTGTTTCATAATGTACCTTGGGTTGCAATGACAGCTCATATTCATAATTTGACATCATGATATCATATGTGTGCATAAAATAGATGGACCAAAAGTAGTGTGTATGCTACAAATGCCTTTTCTTTTTCTCACTAGTGCTATAACACAGGAACTACATACATTTTCTGTTTTTTTTCGAATACCCAGTAAATTTTGAATGTAAGCAAGGCCCGAAAACAAATTAAGTATGAACTCCATTTATTCCATTCATATTGAGTTTTGAAATCTAGTCTAAAATCTCTTATTAAATTTGATTTCTTATTTAAAGATTTTGTTATTATTATTTTTATCCTCTTATAGGTACGTAGAAGACAAGAAAAGAAGAAAGTAGTAATAAATAAACTTTATTTTAAGACTTTAGATGTTTTTTACCAAAAATAAATGCAGTAGATATGCAAGAACACAAAAGAGTACAGAAAATAATAAGAAATATGGATGGTTGGTTGGTTTGAGAATTAAAGTTTGTTTCTTGGTTTTTGTATTCTTCATCCATTTAAACCAATTTAAGTTGTGTACCAACAATTGGAAGTCATGAATTGAAGCCGAACCATGTAACTGTCTTCAACATTATTATATACACGTATACAGTACCTATATATATATATATATATATATACAGGGATAATTACATTTACCTCCCTGAGATTAGGCGTAATTACAGGCAATACCCCTAACGTTTCAAATATTACAGTAACCTCCCTCCAATGTGACTGAGGTCAGTTCCGGTAAAAACCCCATGTTAAATGACTAAACTATCCTCTATTATTAAATTAATTTTATTAATTGAAAAAACCTTTAATAAAGTTCCCATTCTACCCCTAATTGAAAAAAATGGTGAGGAAAAAAACAAAAAATTTGAACCAGGAACAAAATTTTCATTTTTCCCAGACCTGATCCCATCCACATGAGCCTTCGTTCCAAGACCTGAACAACACCATTGTTGAACCCATTAAAGTCTGCCTACTTATTTATCTGTACTCTGAAACCCCAACACTTCCTCCATTTTCGTTACAACGAACCACCTCTGCACCACCATAGCCACTACCGATACCATCACATCTCACCTCATACACTTCTATCACCATAAAACGCATATATAGTTTTATACATAAATGGTAAGTGTGTATATATGATAAGTGTGTGTGTGTGTCTATATATATATATATATACACATATATATATGTATATGCAATCTCAACAAAGGGAATCGGATTTAGACGAGATCTGTAAATGCAGAGATTACGGTGGTGCAAGTAACAACATTCGGATGAAGCATTTCATCAAACAACACATATGCATCATTCGAGAGTTAGACAAACATAAGATTCAATAACAGAACTAGAAAACCAATCTAGCCGCAGTCCTCACCAACAAGTTACCGCCGCCACTGGTTCAACGACAGCGTCCTTGCTTACCGATGGTCAGTATCACTGTTGAGATCATGCATCACCGTCGCTGTTTCAGTTCGCTTCATCACCGGATCAGAGCGCCGCAGGTGTCTTACGTCACAGGGCTCACTCTCTTTTTCTACATCCATTATGCCCACTGACCGTAGATCAGTCCTCCATCGCCGCCGTCGTTTCATTCCTCGCTGCTTGCTCACCGTCTAGACCTCACGCCGGTAAACATCGATAAGTCATTTCGTCCTTTTTGTTTACCGTTCAAACCTCACCGTCGCCGCATCACTGACGTCCTTGTTTGCCGTCGACTGAGCACATCGTTGCTCATCGCCGGTGGGTTATTCATAGCTCGCTAACTTGGGTGATTATCCTATCAGCGACGGTCCAGACGTGGATCCAAGAGATTAAACGGATGTGATTGCAGCCCTCGATGAAAACCGTTGATATGAAATTGGCGATGGAGAGGGGAGCGAATTCCAAGTAGTCTTTTGGCGAGGTAGTGCCGGTGATCAAGCACACCATATACTAGTGGGACGATGGACCATGGAACCACTTTTCAAGGTCGGTGGTGAGAAGCTTGTGGATAGTTTTAACGTCTCGAGCGTTTAAGGCTTCATTCTGGGCGAGCACCAGAGAGTGTACAATTTTTTTCATAATTTCGATTGTGGGAATCCTCCAGAATATCCTTGGAGTTATACATATCAGAGGCTTTGGAAAGAGAGTTTAGAGGGAGAGAGGACATCAGAGAGTGTATAATTTTTTTCCCCTAACTATTAGGGTAATTCGTAATTTTCAATTAAAAATGAGGGTATAAATGTCTTTGCAATCTTTGTAAGGGTAAATGTGATATTTCACCTTTAAAAAAGATGATATCAGCAAAAAACGATCCTTGACTAGCGTTGACTGCTACCGGAAGGGGCAAAATGTTATGCCGGGGTTAACCTTGAGGAAGGTTATTGTAATATTTAAAACGTTAGGAGTATCGCCTGTAATTACGTCTAATCTCAGGAGGGTAAGTATAATTATCCCTATATGTATATATAGAAAGGGTAAAAAAATTTGGGAACAAAGCTTTACATCGATCATCAGCGTCACTTTCCAAAGGTGGGCGGATTTGACTTTTTGACCGTTGCTTTGTAAACCTTTTGACCCATTCTTTTACCTATTGTCAATTTTGAGATCTTCAGTCTCTGTTTAAGTTTTAAGTGTGTAGTTGAAACAAAAATAGTAAACAATAAAAATAGAGAGTTGTGACTTTAAAAATAAGTGAAGTCAACAACTGTACATATTTTTTAATGAATTTGTTGGGCCAAATTCAGCATAACTTAATTACCCTTCAAAATATTTAATTATAATAAGGAAGTTTACCTTTAAATCTTGAATTCTAGCAAATCAAGTACTGCTCCAAGTCTTTAGCCTTCATTAAGGATTTACTAATTAAGTTATCAGAGAAACAAGAAAGACGGTCTTTTATTGGGGTAACCAATTCAACATCAATTCATCATGTTTTTTCAGTCTTATCAAGTAGTATACCCTTTCTCAATTACTTTTATTCACACCAATTACAAATCCATTAAATTCAAAGAGTAGAGGGTGTGTTCGGTTGCATGATCAAATTAGAGATTTGAAATTAGAATTTGTAAAATTTGAAATATTTTTTGTTCAATTTTCTTAATTGTTTTTCTTAAATTCAACAAATTTCAATTTCAAGCGACCAAACACACCCCTAAATACTTTTATGAATTATATATGATATATCAGTCTCCAACCTTTATTGAATTTTAAATTAGGGTTATGCTAATATGCCCACTGTGTACGTAATAACTAACTAATAACTGAACTTTGGCCCATCCATTGTGGCATGGGCACTAAAAGCCTAACCCTTCCTTCATCCATGAAATAAAATCTGAGCCCAAAGCCAATAAAACCAGTTCTAGCTGCTTAATTATGAACCTTGAGGGTTTAGGGTCCATTTATAATGGAGCAGTGGGTTTTTTCAAATATTGCATTTGAAAATCTATGGATTTTGTGGTGATCATTTTTCCAACCCAGCCTGTTTAGTCGTTAATTTGAATGATTTTCATTAGATGAAATACTGGTTGGCTTTAAGTGTAAATAATTTTAACTTGTCAGTTCTATTCATATAATAATTGTGCGTGACCAACAGAGATGTCCTAGTATTGGGACTTGGGAGAGATACGTAGTTCTTATACAAATATATGCGAGGAAGGCCTCTAACACTACGTACTGTGTGAATCTTTCAAATTTTTTTTTTGTTTGTATAGCTGACGTCATTGTTCCATATTATACCCAATATTATTTGCTAATATTATATATATATGTGTGTGTGTGTGTGTGTGTTCATTAATTTTATGCTTAGCTTAATTAAGTTTAGGTGATGAAAGAACGTAATTTGATTGATTTGCGCTGACAACTGACTTTAATTTCTTCAAAAAGTGTATTTGGATCGAGTTCAAAATGGTTAGGTGGCTAACGCTTAACATCTTTTATATATGATGGACACACCCTATATACAATACAAATATGAAGCAGATCGAATAACTTAATTTAATTTCTGGTTATGCAACTTTGGTTGAAAATATATAGCTAGCATGAATATTAAGGGAAGAATTTAGCCAGATATTTTAATTAATTTGGAAGACTGGCAAATTTTAATACATCGATGCCTCATGGACATAGCAGCGTTGACAGAAATTTAAGAAGTAAGTTATTGAAGTTTCAGTTTTGAAATCGCACTCCTACGTTAAATGGTGCTATGTGTTGTAGGGATCGATACACGTACTCAGAAAAAAATTAAAATAAATAAATTAGTCTAGTTAGTGGGGAAGTGGTTGATCTAGCTATCATATTACTCTCACTCATTAACCCTATTGTTTCGATCAAGTGTGAGTGATTGAAATCCTTAATTTCTCAAAAACCAAGTTAATATTAAGCCTCTATCATAATCCTAGTGGTACATAAAAGTTCCATCAAATATATATATATAAATATATATATATATATATATATATGATCATTACATATAATTCGCATCCCATGATCATATATAATTAAGCAGCCAGATAAGACAGCCAGTTGAAAATGAAAATACGTACGTACAAATTGATCGATCATAAGGTATATTGGATCGAGTGTAATATATATATATATATATATAGGGAAAGCGAATAATTAATAATTAATTAAGCTGATGATGATGGCGGGGAAGCCATATCCATATGATGCAGCATCTCTTGATCAAGTGCCTTCTGAAGCCAAGTCTGGGCATCTTGCATGATGGTTGGGCTAAGTCTGACCATGAGGATGCAAAATTCAGTCTGATTGAGTGCTCCATCTCCATCCAAGTCTCCTTCTCTCACCATCGCCTCCGACTCTTGCTTGCTCATCCCTTCCATACCAACAACTCTACAATTCTTCCTCAGACTCTCCGATGTTATCAGCCCCGTTGTAGCATCTGCCAGAAGACGGAATCCTCCACACAGTTCCGACACAAAGCTGTCCACGTCTAGCTTCTCCGCCATCACTCCCATCAAATCCTCATACTTGTACTCATCATCATCACCACCACCACCACCACCACCACCACCACCACCACCAGCAGTACTACTCGTCGACATACCTTTATAAGCTTCCGCGGCCATATATATATATATATATAATGAAATCGAAAGCTGGCTATCTTTATAGCAATCTAAAGTGATGGAGAATGCTTTTTCAAGCCATTTTTAGTGATGAATGAATGAATGCATGTGACGCAAGTAGTGGTGTGACACGCACTTGTGCTATGGACCATACATATATATATATTGATTCAAAGGAGCTAGGGTGATATATATCTGAAATGATCGAATATATGAATGGCTGATTGATCATAGAATTGGACACTTGTATGGCTGATTGATCATAGAATTGGACACTTGTATGGCTTATAATAATCCTCAGTGCCAAACTATACCACGTTGATCCACCTACTTTATGTACATGGCTAGTGCATCGTAATTATTAGTGAATTGATGATATAGTAGGTTGTTGTCACGTACAGAAGAGAGTTTCTAGGAAGGTTCCTTTGAATTGAAGAAGGTGGAGTTGGGGGGATCTTTTGGCTTAACGCAACTGTCATTGCTTAATTTGTCCGGGGATCACCCTTTCTTCGAAGCTTCCTTTGCCGCGATCTCTATCTCTTTTTCATACACACACTAATTATTTCATAAATGTTTTTTTGTATTCTTCTATATCTTTTTTTTCTAAGTGGTCCAGCTGTCCAATTTTTCTATCCATCAAAACAAAAGTAATTAGCAACTACGGAGTACTAAAATAACGCATGCTTAATTTTATTTATTTGTATGTGATATTAATTTTATTAACTCTCTGCTGGGACCATTTATAATATATAGTTTTTCACATTTTGTTTGTTTGTTTGCTTGCTTATTATGATCATTAAACATTGAAGGTCGGTCCATGTATAATATCTAGCCCTCGCAAATTTTCACTAGTCAAGCTACTCAGAATCTTTACTTCATCATGTGCTATAGACTATAAGCATGGGACGCGAAACTACGTAATTTTCATATACACACCTACAATAATGAGCATATATATATGTATGACATTGTCAAAATATTGTTTCAAATAAAAACGTACAATCTCTTAAAAACCAAATACCAACATAGTATTTTCCTTTCTTCTTTTTTTTCTTCTTTTTTTTTTTTTTTTTTTTTTTTTTTTTTTTTAAAATGGTAAAACGAACACACACTTTTTTGCTCACGCTGGGACTTGAACCCCTCTCCTCTTCTTTGAAGATGGGTGAGCCAAAGGCCCTTTGGTTATTTTTCTTTCTTTTGAACCGAACAAAAATAACAATTATTACATTAAGTAAGGGAAGAGATATTTGCACTCTATTTTTTTTTTTACGTTTACACTCCATTTTTCTTTTTTCTTAAATGTGAATGACGAAAAGCCCCTAAGCTAATTAATGCATCATTCCTTATTTTGTTATACTATAACTATCCTTTTTTCTATAAGCTTTCTTTTTTTTTTACTTCTTTACTTATTCCGAAAATATAGTTTAACCTTAAGTGACAATCTTACATGGCATATTAAATGCACTAACTAATTTTAGATAAATTTACCCTTTCATCATTATTTTCTTCACCTTTTTTCTTACTATATCAGATATCCCCTTTCATCGTCACCTTAGTCATCATTTTTCTTTCTATATCAGTTATTCTATGCAGTATTGTTTTAGCTGAAAATTCTTCTTTTATAAAATACTTTTCTTTAATAACTCTTTTGCTTTTGATATACATCTTTAATTAATATTATATATTGTTAATTTTTATAAATAAAAAAATTCCAAGTCAAAAAAAAAAAAGAAAAGGAGAAAATATTTGGAAGGTGAATTATATGGATGTAGGTTTTGACGTAATACCCATCTCTTTTTTTTTTTTTTTTTTTTCATAAAATCCCTATTCTTAAAATTTTATTGTCAAAACAATTAGGGCTTTTCTCATCAATAAGAAAAATTTAAAAATTTAAATACATTACAAATTAATTCTTAAAAATCACGTGAAGGAAAAAAAATTGAAATTAAACTCAAAAAACAAAATACCAAAACAAAAATAAAAGAAAAAATTACCATCACCATTAACATGATGGTGTTGAATGGCTCTTGGAGTTCTTACACGCTTTTTGTAATATTAAACCCTAACTAAAATAGAGCAGATAATTAATACAAAGTAGATATTTAATCGAGAGATATTGTAAATGACCCAAACCGTTAAAATTGGGGAGAGATTGTGAAAAAAAGATTTATTTCTATAACAAAAATAGAGATTGTGAACAAAAGATATATTTCTATAACAAAAATAGAGATTGTGAAAAATAGAGATAAATTTCTAATGATCAAACTAAGAAAATGATTAAGATTCAAAATAATTTGAATTCCATTCGACTTCCAACAAATTAAAAATCTAAAATATTTTACTTGTCTATTATACAACACTAAAAAAATGTGAAAATAAAATCCTAAAAATAAAAGAATTTGGATGAAAAGGCAATGTATCCATCTTTTGTTAGAACATGTTATGTAGACTTGTACAATGGATATGTTATGAGTATATTTTGCGTGGATATTTAATTGCTATATATTTTTGCATATCATTGTTTGCATTTTCTAATTGATTGTATATTTATTTGGGATATATGGAGATGTAAATTTCTTTTAGCAAATCTCTAAGAAATATTTTATTAAGAAATAATTTCACCAAAAACATTTATCAAAATTCCTTATTAGCGACCAAAACTGTCACATAAAGATATTTTGGTCATAAAAAAGAAATTGTTTTTCTAATCTAAATACTTGCGACCAAATTCTTTTGACATTTAGAAGGAAAAAATAAAAAAGGTATTATCAAATTTTTGAGTCTTTGGTATTATATCATTTTTCACATTTTTTGGGCCACATGTATATTAAATATGACTAATAAATATTAATAAAAATGCAAGTTGGATCAAGTATTTTAATTTAAATACCATGATTAAGGGAAGGAATGGCTAATACTATAAAAGAAAATGGGGACCAAAATCTAGACAAATTATTGAGTATTCATGGTACCGACAATTGAGTACCCATAAAATAAGCACTTACTTTGTATAATTTTTTTTTTACTTATTTAACTTTTTGTTAATAAGAAATAATCACCCATTATTGATAAAATGCACACCGTGTAACAATTCGCTTGGGTTTAATAAGGCATTGGGATTGAGAAGAAAATCGTCCCGTTTATATTAGGAGTGTAAAGTTTGATATGATTCGTCAACACGACATGTGTTAAATGTGATTGGATTGACTTTAAACGAGTTTGAATTATAAACGGGTGTTTAGTTAATTGTATTATGTTTGACTTGAGATGATTCAACCCGTATAACCCGTTTATATCTATTTAATCATATTTATTATAAATAAATTTATATTTAAATTCTAAAATAAATCTCTAAACTTGTGTCTTACTATAATTTACTCTTTTATATGATTGAGTATTATTAATAATTTAATATTTTATTTTAGTAAATCGGTCATTAAAAGGGTTACATGTGTAACTCGTTTAATAAGTATGTTAAATTAGTATTGAGAGTTCTTAATACGAATATTAAACGAGTGGTGTGTTCAAGTTTTAACTACTTAATAAAATACCTTTATATGAACCTCTGTTCAAGTTTTAACTATTTAATAAAATATTTTTAGATGGACATGACATGATGATTATCAATTGCCACCCCCTAATTTATATAAATAATGATGAATTTACCAAAAAAAAATAAAAAAAATAAAAAATTGCTAGACTTTACTGGTAAGTGGTAATGACTATATATCGCCACGTAATTCTAATTTTCTTTGGATCCACAGTCCCCACCACAGTCTCTTCTTCTTTCTCCAGCTGGTGAGTGGTGATATGTTACTCCTTTTTGCGAGTTGAAGTTGCAGGTTGTCTCTCTTCTCTTCTCATTTTGTATTCCTAAACTAAACAATGCTAGGTAGGCTTTGACAATTGCTACAAATCTAAGTGGTGCTGTCAAAATCTAAGTGGTTTCACAATTGCTACAAATGGAGAACACTGTCAATTCCATTAGATTGATTGTTCCCAACCTCACATTCATATACATTTTTTTTCTTTTCCCCCTCTTTTTTAACTACACATATACATGCATATATTTGTTTAACTAATTCACCAATCACAGTCAACAGTTTATTTTGGTCGCAAACCTCTTTTGCACTTTGATCAAACTATTCAAATTCAGTTTTTCAGTCAACAAGTTGGTTACCCAAACTCCCCTGGAATATAAACAAATAGTAACCAAGTCTACTAACCATATTCACCCCTTACTTAGTTCATGAATAAATCATCCAGCTTTTAGTTGGCGATTGTATTAACCCTTGGGGAAGTACTATTTTTTTTCTTTCTATAATCTGCACCTAAGCTGTTTGATGAAATGCTTTTTGTTTTTATGGGTTTAAAGTAGCCTTCTTTTTAAAAATGCTTCATGGTTCATTAGTCTAGAGCTAGGCACTAAGGGCCTGTTTGGCAATTGTAATGTTAACATGGAAAAATGCAACAACAAAACATATGTTTTTCTATTGTAAGATGGATGGGCTTGAATTAAAGTCTCAACCTTCCATTTGGCTCAAATTATTAAATGTATTGTTCTATAATCCTTTTTTATTTTCTTTACCAATTCATTGGAAAAATGCAAGGAATGGAGGTTTATGCCCTCTCGTCCGCGCCAGGTGTTTCATACTGTAAAATTTTGGATCACCTTAGCTTATTGTTCATTTTTTAATATTATTTTTATTGGAAAGCAACATATAACAAGCAGGGAAAAAAAAAAGCACACACACATTACAGTTTACGGGGCATGCCACCCAACAAGAGAAGGCAACATTTAGTTAAGAAAGAGATAGAACCCATTTTTTCCTAAGAGGATATGAAGAATGCTTCCACAACCGAAGGTGTATTTCTATTCTATACTTTTTGATTCATAATGTGTGCTCTATGTAGTTATGCTTATGTTGTGTAATTGAAGATTTTCAAGCTTGCTTTTTATTTCTCTATATGTAGTTTTCCTGTTGTGTTCAAATTTCCATATCCTTTTACAGAAGCTGATCTGATGCAATTGTCCACATGATATGTTCTTTTTTTTTTTTTTTTTTTTTTTTTTTTTTTGAGGATTTAGTTAAATGTGGTATACTTACCGAAAAAGAGTTTAATATGGTACTCACATTTCTGGGTTTGAAGGATATTAACTGCTTGTCCTTTGTACTTTATTAGAATCGTAGCTTTCATGATATAATCAAGATAGTAAACTCTAATAAAGGTCTGAACTATATTTTGATTTTCATATTAACTGAGTTCTCTGAAAGTCATCCTCCTACCACTTGATAAACAGGTTAATGGTATGATGATTTCTGTGATATTGTTAGTGGTTAATATTAGCTCTCTTCTCCTTTAGGTTACATTCTCCTATTAAGGCTTCATAAGTGGAATGGTGTAGTTAAGTTCATAGATGGAGTAGATAGAGCGATAGACTAAGTAGATGCAAGGACTTGTTTCAAACACATTGTTTTTTTTTTTTTTTGTTGATAAGTCGTTTCAAACACATTGTTGTATACTTGTATTACATCCTTTACACCTCATGTCCATTACGCAACTTATTATTACTACAGCAGCCATACTGTCAATTAAAACCTCTGTTTGATGTTTGAAAATTGGTTGCCAATTTTTCTATTCTATTTTTAGGGGAAAATTGCGTATAATTCTTGTTTCCTTGGTACACTTACTCACTTAGTATGGAGGGGTTATTGCTTACTGTAATAGTAAAAGCTTGATCTCACAAGTGTGGGACATTTTGTGCAAAATAATGTCAAGGTTAGGTCTTGTCTCCCATCTTTCCGTCCCAAGTTCCCACACCTTGAGGAGGCAGGGATATACACTGGTGATGCCCTTCTTTTAGCCCTTGTGTATTTCTTGCGTAACAACTGGAAAAAAGTTTTCACAATTTCTATTAAATAATAAATCGTAATGCACCTTTGGGAACAGAGTTGAAGTAACTAACAAGATGCATCCTGTGAAAGGGTTCATTTCCTCTACCATCCAATTTTTTGTCAAATTTTGTAGAAGTATGGAACTAGGATACATACTTCATGTAATAGTTGCAGTCACTTGTAGATTTCCCTCCAATCTCAGATTGGTGGGCTGAGAGAAAATTCTGCGGATTGTGAAAGATTTGACTTCTGTTAATGAGATGTTGACATTTGATCAGAGGACTTTATGGAATATTTCAAAACTTACATGGAATTGGTTTCCTCGAACACAAGACCTGATGCATGCACAAAGCTGAAAGCCCTACGACGATGAGGCTGTGTGGTTAGCTTTTTAAAATTAGAGTAGTTTATAATATTCATATAAACTTAAGACTTAAGTAAATACACGTAAACTTGGTAGGATAGAACTTGATGAGAATATGGACCAACATAAATAAGATTCTATTGTTGGATGCCTGAATTTATAGGTTGAAGCGACATTGCGTAACTGTGATATAGAAAGTTCATGTTGTAGTTATTCATGCTCTACTTCCTTTAGATGTTGGCTAATTGTGTAATTCTGAAATCCTTTTTTCCCCTCCCCCCTTTTTCTTCTTCTTCTTCTCTCTCTCTCTCTGCAGCAACATGCCCTAAGTGTGGGTTTGGGAAGGCTGCTTTCCAGCAAATTCAGATCGGGTCAGCTGATGAGCTGATGTCAACATTTTACAAGTGCTTGAATGAGCATTGTGGAGAGCAGTGGCGCGAGGACTAAATACTTGGCATGCCTGCATTTATCTTTGCTGCAATGCAGGTTGGACGTGGCCATCCTTTCATGTTTTTGAGTGTCATTCTCTTTTGGTTGCTTGTAGTCTCGAGTGAAATTCCCTTTTGGTTGCTACAATTTTGAGTGAAATGATTTTTTGTTCCATGAGTCAGTTTACAGAAATGAAAAGCCTAATATTTTATAATTCAATTCTGTTCAGTAATTTCAATTTCTGTTAGCAGTCTGCTATTTTATTCATGGTATATTTGATTTCAATCTTAAATATTATTGTGTCCATAATCCAATCTTAGTGAGGTATATAGTTCATTCTTGATGATATTAAGTTTGGGCATTGCATTTCATCCTAGATATCATGGTTTTTAATTTGCCAATTACCGGTGGAACTCCACTCCCTGCCTTTTGTGCCTTCAGTTTTCCCATTGACTTGTCGCTAGGATGCTATTATTTTGCCCCCCTCCCCTGGGAAATCACACACACCCCACTAATATGTCTCACCTGGCACCCGAACTTCCAAATGAATGTAAGCTTGAAGTTTCATACTCACTGGGGTGGAAAAAAAAAAAAAAAAAAAAAAAAAAAAAAAAAATGAAAAAAAGCAGAAAAAAACTTCAATTTCCATTTGCCAAAGTCATATCCTCTAATGAATCGAAAGCTTCTTCTCTAGCGTATTTGTACTTTGCTGTCCTTGGTGTATATACACATTAAGGTTTTTTTTTTTTTTTTTTTTCTCAGATGAAGATAATTGTTACTGTGTGAATAAAGTGCACCAAGAATCACGAGGATAATTTTTCTTTAACAATAATAATAATAATAAGGAATACAAGATCAATCCAGCTGTTCAAAACTGGTCAACCTATATACACAAAAACAACATAACCTTTCTCCCCTATATACAAAAAGGTGTCCAGAGAGATCGTGTTCCACAAAAATATAGGTTGTCCCAAATAATATGACCATAGCCCACATATATATAGATATATATAATATCAGTGGAAATTGTAAACGAATAAGCAAATCGAACACCTGAAAATATATGTGAACACTACTAATTAATAAACAACCGGCTTCTTTTTTACTATCCATTTCTTCCTGGTGGCCTCCAATGTCTCCTCCCTCATCCTTGAGAGTTCTTGGAACCATTGCTGGTACTGTTCTTCAATTGTGTCAAGCTCCGACTTCAGCTCAAGATGTTGATCTTTGTCTGATGAGGACAAAGATGAACTGCTGCTTGTCAAGCTCATTACCTTAGAAACTTCAGATACATCAATGACAGACAATTCCGAGCTCTTTGCAAATTCATTCATTGCTTTACATTCTACAGCACTGCTACTATTTTCCTGCATTTTAAACTCGTCATAGTACAGGTGGTCTCTGAACTCCACCTGAGAAACCCACTCACACAAACCTTTAGAGCTTTCATCAATAACAAAATCAACACATTCAGCTGTATTATCATTTTTGGTAGAAACAACCTCGGCCATTACCTCAGAAGAAGCAACTGATGCTTGTGACTCTTTATCTTCCGAATTTGTAAAACTTTGAGGAGTATTGATTTCAACATGAGTAACACAATTAGAGTTGCTATGTGAGGTACCTTCATCAGCTTGTACATAAACTTGTTGAGGACTTGTCTTTAACTCAGAGAGTACATCTTTCTCAATCCCTGATTTGGCAGGAATACTTGTTAGCACTGTATCCCATGGATTCGCAAATGAGTTTATATCATTTGCAGCTACTGGAGACCCTGCTCCATATGCACTTGTCACTCCAGTCAAGTTATAATCTGATGAGGCTTTCCAACCAGGTGAAATTCTCATTAATAAGTAATCAATAAACTCAGCAATGAAAGCCACGTCATGATCTGCTAGCTCGAGTTGTTCAACCATCTCTCCCGCGACTGAGAGTGCAGTGTCAGTATCAAGGTAGAAATCAAAGTGAATATTCCTTACCCTGCCTGCAAGTAACAAAGACCATTTACATAATGTAACATATGAAACAGAAACAACTAAGCTAATGGGGTGATCCACTTACCACATGAGTCGGCAATTCGCAATGTCAATGATATCGAGTTGTCATCATTTTTCTTACCCCTCAACCTAAAATCATTATTATGATGCATCCTCTGTAATTCCAGAAAAGGAGAATGTGGACTTCCACTGTTGGAGTCTGTACATACAGACTGGTTATACTCGGGATCTATATCCATGGAAAGAGGCCCCGAATTCAATAAATTTAATGGTCTTGGAGATGGGGATGGTAACTGTAAGGGATCACGAATAGGGTCCTTCAGATTCCCTAGTTGAAGAAATGGATCTTTAAGAAGCTCCTTAGCGGGCAATCTTTTAGATGCTGGAACTAGGCATTTCTCAATGAATTTCTTCACTTCAGGATCATTCACCTTGTCAAGGGAGGCAGGTTTAATGCCCTGCAAATGCAAAAAGGTCATTCATTTGTACGCGGTGGTAAAAAAGTAAAACAGAGTGTGAGTGGTGATGCTTGATTAGTTGAAGATAATCTCAACTTACAGAGGTAACCTTCTTAAAGATTTGCGCTGGATTCTTGCACTCGCTATAAGGATATTCAAAAGTAACCATTTCCAACATACACATCCCAAAAGAATATATGTCAGCTAGTTCATTATATTCCTCTTCATAAAGCTCAGGAGCCATGAATTCAGGAGTTCCTTTATGTAAAAAAAAAAACACAAAATAGTGAGCACTTCTAACTATCTATGTTGCTTGTTTTCAAATAAGTCAAGAAAATTTCTCTTACCAATAACACTCTTAGCTGTAGGCCGTTGCATTACAGTTGCCAACCCAAGATCTCCAATTTTAACTTCTCCATGATTTCCATTAACAAAAATATTGTCGCATTTCAAGTCCCTGTGGATAATAGGCGGGTTCTGACTGTGAAGATGGTATAAACCTCGAAGAATCTGCCCTGCCCAATTCTTTATAGCCTTCAAATCAACATTTTTATGCTTCTTACGATATCTAATAATCAAAATATACATGGATTACTTTGAAGATCACACAACGACCAACACAAAGAAAGTAGGAACAATCAGTATAACTTACTGCCTCAGACTCCCAGATGTGAAGAGCTCAGTAATCATGTTAACAGTCTTCTTCTCATAATCAATCCACGAATCGTAACATTTAACAATACTTTCATGTTTCAATGATCTAAGAAGATGAACCTCCGAATACAATTTTTCCAAATCTTCTGGTGACTGCATTACATCATCAATCCTCACCCGGTTCCAGGCAACTTCAATTCCGTCAAGCTCGTCAAATGCCTTGTAGCTACAAACAAGAATGGAGGAACCAGAAGTAGAACCATCCATGAAGTTAGTTAGTAAATGTTTCTCCCAACAAAAAGTCAGATTTTTTTTTCTTCTTTCTACTGTTCTATATTGATTTATAAATAAGAAATTGAACTAAATTACAGTAAAAGATAAAGTTTTGGAACCATACACAGTCTTGAATGCACCCTTTCCCAAGATTTCATTGTACTGAAAAGAAAAAAGAAATAAATAATAAATAATAGAGGAATAAGGACTAAAAATGATGCAGAATCTATGTGATTAAAGTTTTCTAAATTTTCATTTGTCTGGTTGACTAGACTGCTGCTCAGTTGCTAACAGGGACTAAAAAAAACACTTAACTCTGCCATATAATTGATCAAAATTAACTGACTTGATATATTGTGTTATTGGAAAATGAAGTATCTCAATGGAAAAAAAAAAAAAAAAAAAAGAGGGAATGATAGGGATTGCAGCAAATCAGCATCAATACACCACAAACCCCATCAAGGGAAGAACTCAGAAACAAACAAACAAGTAGGGATTACCAAATTTAAGGAACAATACTGGAATACAATGTGCTTTCAAGGTGTAAAGAAAAGATTAGTAGTATTACCCGAACATAACGTTTTTTTGGGTCTTTTTCCACATAGTGGGTCTCCAAATCAGGAGAAAGCTCTGGTTTTCCAAACAAGAAAGTGTTGGTTTTGAATTCATTTGTAGAATGAGGCAATGGAGAGCCAGGACCGGAATTCATTCCCGTGAACAAGTATAACCAAAGAGCTACAGGGAGGAGGAAGAAGAAGAAGAAGAATAAGGAGGAGAAGAAGAAGAAAAGAAGAGAGAGGAGGGTTTTTCTCGGAATCCAATCAAAGAACTCCGAATGGAAGGTAAGCGGGAAGGGTCTGGCGAGCCATGGAGTAGGGATCCAATGCCAATCGCAGACGCAATTGGGACCCACATTCATCTACAACAGCAACCAATACATCGAGATCCAAGGAGCTCGATGATGATGATGATGACGATGAGGAGGATGAGGAGGAGGAGAATGAAGAAAAATGCGACATGACCATAACCCAACTTCCCATATGTTGTTACCAACTACTCCTTCATTATATGAATCAGTGGCAACACCGTCATCAGAGACTCTTTGACACCATTTTCTTTTTGAAGTTAGTTGTTTTTTGTCCCTTTCGATCCATCATCCAAACCCAAAATGAAAGATAAAATTGTTGGAAATGGAGTGTGGTGTGGAATGAAAAAACAAGAAAGAAAAATGGAAAAAAAAGGAATGTTAGGGAGATGGAAAAAGGATTGAGCTTGGAAGAGGGAAAGGAAGGGAGAGGAGGAAGAGGAATGAGATTGATTTAGGGGAGGAGGAGTGTGCGAAAGACAAGGAATGAACAAACACTTGTCTGGTCAGTCCCTTTTCCTTTTTTTCAACAAAAACAAAAACAAAAACAAAAACGTTTGCTGTGAATTGAATTCTGCTTTAAACACTTGTCACAAACGGCATTGTTAAATTTTTATGCTACATCAATTCTCTTTTTTTCACTCTCTTTCCTATTCCTATGCTTAACTTTCAAATTTACTAAAATGCTCCACAAAATAATTTTTAAAATTTACCAAATTAGTTAGTGTGCAAAGAATAAACTTAGTTGGACATAAATAATAGATTTTTTTTTTTTTTTTTTAAATATCAATTTTGTGAATCTTTACAACTAAGACTTACAATCACACATTACATACCCATGGTCGGAATAAGATTAATGTTGCAGTTGATAACTTCGGATTTGAAATTTTAAAAAATTAATTTAAAATTTTAATTAAATTCCTTTTAATTTCAAATTTATGTTATTAATTCGGTACTCCCAAACATAACACCAGAATTTCATAACTATGCCATAATTCAAGCAAATTTGACCATCAACTATTTGAAATAACAGTGCATTAATATATCAATAAATTTAAGATCAATATAGATGAAAAATTATAGTGCAAGAAATAAATATATAGTAAAACAAAAAATACAGTAAGAGTTTAAACGCTCAAACTATTACATATATAGATGATCATTTTTTTTTAAAAGGAGTTGAATTATGCTCATCAACCCTCGGTTAAAACAAAAAGTTGCCAAACCCATTAACCAAATTCCTAAAAAAGATAGAAGTCTTCTATCAACAACATAGTTGAATTGAGTGTGAGAGGTTTGTCCAAGGAAGGTTAAAACATGTTCAAATGTTTGATTTCTTTCCTCCTCAAGTGATGGAAGCTGCTCTGAATCATTGTAATTTTCTTGTTTGATTTACTGTAATTTTATTTCTATCATTGCTTTAAAATAAATAATAATAATAAAAAGTGAAGCGGACTGAAAATTGATGAAATCAAAAGTTCCAACTATATAAAAAGTTCCAATTTTTATCATTGCTTTAAACTATTTGTTGGGATTTATATGCCCTGGCATAGCAAATTCCTATCTGGATTGTATTGACATATGTTCCTGACATATCTGAAATATTTATGATTTATATAATTGGTGAATTCAATGTATTATGTTTCGATTCACTATGAAATTGATAGTGTCCAGTTAATTACAAGAAATATTTATATATATATGTATGTGATGACAATCAATGCATGATATATAAATAGTAATTATAAATTGTTCATAGTCGGTAATTATGGATGGACTCATAATTAATTAAGACTTGAACTGGATCCGCGTTAGGTTGAGATATATTGCGAGAGCTGTCGTATGCAATTACTCCCTATCACCGTCATGGCATTTGACTATTAAGCATGAGAAAAGTATAGACTCTTTTATTAATTAATAATTACTTTGATTTGTTCGGCGGATTCTTCGGGATCCTTAGACCGACACTTTGGGTAGTTATGTAATTAATAGTTAGAGGGTTATATTTTCAATATTTGAATCATTGCTACTTGTATTTATTTTGTATTGATTATGGTTGATCACAAAGTAAATTCGAAGGCCTTCGTGTGTTTTTAGACAAAATGATTTATTATATATTTATTTATTTAAATTATTATTTTTGTCAAACAAATGTTTTATTGTGATTGAGCCAGAAATAATCAAAGGTACCAAAATAAATATATTAATTAAGTAGTCGGATTGATGGCTATATTTATCCGATAACTAATTATGTATAGAGGGGTCAAAGTGCAATATTGACTTAGAGGTTATTTATTATTTAATTGGAGTTCAATTAATTTCTTTTAGTGGAGTAGAAATTAATTTATGAATTAATTGAATTGGATCCATGGACCGGGCCAATTATTAATTCATTGTAGCCAATAAAATAATAGGCCCAATGGATTCTCACTCATAGCCTAACTTGATATTAGAATCATATTAGATTTGAGACATATGAATTAGAGATGGAGAAGGATTTGTTGTTTCCTTTTCTTTATTTTTATGTTGCCTATAAATATACATGGTCTATGTATATTTTAGGGTGTGATTTTTATGAGAAGGAAAAAGGAATAAATTTTCTCTCTCTAGAAAATTAGGGTTTATGTTCTCATCTAATGGAGGCTCCCACAAGCCTAGTTTTCCAAGGTCATTCAAGGAGGCTTATGAGTGATTCCTAAAGGCAAAACCATTACCAAGAAGATGGAGATCCATGGAAAAGATGTCTAGCAAAAGGGATCTACAATAAGTGAGAACATTCACTTTAGAGGAGAGATCTGAGGTTTACTCAAACCTTGATGTAAGTATTCAATCTTTTAGTTGAATAATACATCATATTTTATTTTATTTTTTGCATAAAACTTGTCTCTATGTGATGAATTAAGATCTATGAATTTAAATCCCTCGAAAAGTTTTTAAAACTAGCACGTTTTCCAACAGTGGTATCAGAGCATGGTTTGATTCATTACTAGAGATCATGATTTTATGAAAATCATCATTCATGGATCCAAAATTATATTTATATATATTTTTATTGATGTATGTTGATGTATGATTTAATATGTTGATATATATTGATACATAATGATGTATGAATGATTGTGAATGAATGATGATGTATGGTTGGGCCATGGATGAAGCTTATAGGTTAAATGAATGTAATTTTATCTTTGGATGAATGTAATTAAGGCTTTGATTTAGCCGTTTGAAAGTTCAATGATGTAATTTAATTTTTTCCATTGTATATCAAATTGTAAATTTATTTAAAGCCATGTAATCTTCATCAAAGGATGCTATGAAGCTTCAAGAAGGTCCAAGAGGGTTAAATTAGGCTTCAGAAATTTTCTGGGATTTTTTAGCAATTTTTCTGGAATTTTTTAAGGCCTAATTTAATTTCTGGAAATTTTTATTAATTTTTCTGGATTTTTCAGCGTTTTTCCGGTGGCCGGAGCATCACCGGCGGCGAGAAGAGACGTCGGAGGAGGCTAAAATCAAGTGTAGTGCATGTGGGGTGAGCCTGGCGCGTGAGGAACACGCGCCAGGAGGTGACATATGCTGGCGCGTGCATTGCACGCGCCAGCCAAGTGTGTATGGCCTCCACGCGCGTGCAGGCGCGTGGAGGCGCGTCCCATGCGTCCCACGCGCGTGCCAGCGCGTGGGGGCGCGTGGCTTCACCTGCAGCATGCCCCAGGCGCGTGTGAGCGCGTGTGGGGCCCTCCAGTCGCGTTCCAAGCAGTGTTTTGCTTCTCCTAGCGCGTATCAACCTCCTGCGGGTGTTTGCAAGCTGATGGAAGATCCTCACGCAATACTTAGAGTAATTAAATGTTAAAAGCTGAATCCATTGGCCATTTAATTTGCTTTATCTGTCATTTATTGTTGTATGTGATGCATGAAATAATTAATTGCTAATTATTATTGTTCATGCATTGGATCCATGATATTTATTTAAATGGCTTGATTTATATTAATTAAATTATGAAAATTAATTGGATTAGATTACTAATTAATTTGAGGGCACTTATTGGGAAACGAAAAATTATTTTTGTAAATTATTTTTAAAGTGTGCTTCAAATTAAATATTAGTGAATCGTTTAAAGTCCAAATATTTTCTAAATTTAATGGGATTAAAATCAAGACGTTTTGCATGCATTATATCATGTAAATTGAAAACCCTAATTATTAATGACTAAAAATTGAGTGGGAGCGGGGATTTTTATACATTACCCCATGGCCTTCGTTATTAAAACCATTGTAATTAGATCTTCAAAAATAAGGCCCCACGCATGATTTGAAGAGTCTTAATATTACAAGAATGGTTGTCTCATGAAAATAAAAATATTAAATGTTCATTGTAATTAGATCTTTAAAAATAAGGCCCTACGCATGATTTAAAGAGTCTAGATTATAATGACAACATATTTAATGTTTTATTTTTCATTAGAGCATTAATAATGTTATACACTCAATCTAAAATCAATAGTGTTAGCTCCCCAACGGAGTGGTCTACACTAGGTGATTTTAGAAAGGCTAAACATAATCGGGAGTCATTTCATATAGATAGACAAGGCATTGTCTTAAGAGATATGGAGATGATGGGATTTGCCCGCCAATAGCAATAATGAACTTCGCCAACCGAATAAGTTATTGGTGTATTGGTTATCCGATTTTTCATGCAGTGGTTAAGGGACCCACATACTATTTTAATGGAAGTGCTCACCTAATAGTAAATGAATCTCAACAATAGTAATAATGAACTCCTCCAACAGGATAAGTTATTGACATATTGATTGGTTGATTTATTATGCTACAGAGTTGAGGGACCCGCATTAATTAAAAGGGATTGTTCACCAATAATGATAATGATCTCTTATTCGATTGAGATTTATTGTATTATGTGGTTAACAAGCTCATTTTAATTTTAAATATGCATGACATTATTAATAGTTCACCTTGCATATTCTATGAATGCATTTATATTCAGATTAATTATGTCTAATCCAGTTTATCTACTTGCTTACATATTCTATGATATTGGACCTTATTTATAATGACTGGAAAATGAACTTAGATATTTTATTCACAACGTAAGGGTACAAAATGTGTTTATTACTCCTATACCTATCTCTTTTACTTTGAGATACCAAATTTGACATTAATGCTTTTAATAAATTAGATAAGGCAAATGATATGACTTGGTGCAATATTCTAGAGTTTAGCTCGAATATACTCCAAAGCTAACATTTGTATTATTTTATTTTCTTCAAGCATCATATTAAATGTCAATGAGATATTTTGGTGAGATTAGATAGAGCATATGCCTAAGTACTGTGTCAAATTTAAATACCATCAAGATAGCCTGATAAACTCCAGTTTGAAATCAAATTTTGGAAAATGATTGTTTATTATTTAAAATTAGCTGGAGATCAATAAGGCTGACTTGGGTGGTAAGTTTCAAGTTGACATGATTATTGCCTTGTTACCAAACTCATTCGACTCTGTTAGAGTGAACTAAATAAGGAA